TTTCTTCCGCCCCACTTCCCGTTGTTTACTCAATAACAGCGTCTCTATTGATTTGCGCTCCGAGCATGGTAAGATAAGTGTGCCTGGAAAAGTGATATTGCCCTGCGGAGATTAGGCCGAATCGCTTGCGCCCTCAGCATTATCTACGCTGCGGCATTGCAGTGAATTCAAGCGTCCCCAACCTTCCTCTCCCCTTTCCACATCTTTCTCCCTGCGCATGTGTCCGGTCCTTGTTTCATTGCCGCTTCCGCCCGGGAAATGCTTTCCTCTTTGCTACGCCCCCGCTGTCCCGCTCCACCCGCCCACCCCCTGGGCCGCCACCGCGCCGCTCGCTAACCGGCGATGGCGAAAGCCCTCGACGACCCACGACGACAAATCGATGGGACATTTAAATTGGAATTAGGGGCGCTCGCATTGCTCGGGGGGGGGGGGGCAGCAGCCGGATGGCGAAAGGTGTAGGAGCGATTGGGAGGGGACCGTAGGAGTGATTATGCGAGGGAAGGCACATTACCAGAGGAGATGCGACGACAGCCGAGAAAGCTTTCCGCAAGAAGGAGGCGGCGGCGGATGCGGCGATTGTCACGTTGGACAACAAGTTGCAACAATGCGGCGGTGACGACCGAAGAAGCGCGCCACAGCCCAGCACTCTCTCGCGCCCGTCTTTGCACCCCTCAGCTCTTTCCCGTCCGTCCGTTCGCCCGTCCGCCTCGCCCGTCCGCTCGCCCGTCCGTTCGCCGCCGTCCGTCGCCCGTCCGTTCGCCCGTCCGCCGCTCCCCCCCCACACACAAAGGCCTATCCCCCACTTACCTGCCACTTTTTCGCTGCTCTCGCGGGCAGAACGTTCCGGCTCTGAGTGTTTTTAAAATACCTGAGAAAAGCAGGGTGTTGGTAGGGCTGTGGCTAAATGCTTCTGAATAACCCAAGAGGTGAACGTTTGTTCTTGTTACTATATATTTCACCAATGAGTTATGGAAAAGGGGTAAATTGAAAGAGGCAAGAGCGCACTGACTGTTTGGCAGAGCGCCGCCGAGCCGTGCGACGGCGGCGGCGGGGCCACAGCGCGAGGCCCGGGGCTTCCCGCGGCCGCGCGGCCCCCACGCCCGGCCTCCGCCGCCCGCGCCGCCGCCCAGCCACGCCGCCCCGGCCGCCCGCCACGCAGCGCCAGCGCCCACCACAGCCGCCGCTGGAAGGGCTGACGAAAGCTCAGCCACCGACATGGGCCGCCAGCCCGGGATGCCGCACGGAACCCACGCCCAGCCTTGCCCTCCCGCACAGAACCCACCAGCCGCCGTTCAGAATTAGCGCGTCTCACGCTACTACAGAACCATTGGCGGATCCAGGCCATGAGGTCCCCCTCCCTTGAAAACAAAGGCTTACACCATTATCGGTTGTTACGTTCCTTTATTTTTGAAAAAAAACTGATCTTTAAATATTATTTATTTTCATATTATTTATTTAAATAGTGAAATTTGTTTAAAAAATAATATTTGTATATATTATGTAACACACTACGAAAATAATATATTTTAATTAACAAACAATTTATTTACTTAATACTTCTACAGTGGCCCCCTCTAAAAATGATCGGCTAGATCCGCCCTTCTGCAGTACCGGACAGACGTAATAAGCGAACTGGACAGTTCTACTCGCACGTGCTGAGGTTACGTCATACGACCTGTTCTGGAGTATTTCCGCTTGTAGAATTTTCTTTACTTTTCACGCCCAGCATTCAGCCTTCCCGCTCATCTGACTGCGTACAGGATGTTCCAGAGGTGAGAATTTCGGCTGCGGCCGAAGGTAATTGAACATTATATTTTAACAACGTTTTGTCGTCGCCTGTCGCGAAGTTGTTTAAATGTTCTGAGATTTTCACTTCATTTATCTGTCATATAAGTGGTGCAATGACCTTTGCCATTGCGTCGAACTGTCAGAGTCTCTTACGGTCGGTACTGTAGTAATTTATTTACAAGTTTAATGTGGGTGGTTTCATGTAAAAAATAGAATATTTATGATGTTGATAATAAATGTAAATTTTAAATATATTACAATTACGCAACTTGTCAATCTTAGAACAAAGAGTTAAACAAAAAAGAATGGTTTATACGTTTTTTTAAACATTTTTTTTAAAAAAATTAGATTTAATAATAGTCTGCCTAATGAATCAATTCGAACGATTCATGTTATTCCAGAAATACAGTACAGAAATTCATATCAATTTACCTATGTAAGTGCATGAAACAATAAAAATCACATACTCTTTTAGCATTCTTGATAGTATTCTAGAGATGTATCTGACTAAGAATAGTGTCAAGCAATTCGTATTGTAGAGGGGTATCGAATGACCCACTGATCACATGTGAAGGTACCTTAAATCCCTCAAAACGCGTTTTAGTTGGTTACCCCCCCCCCCATACAGGTTTTCAGGAAATCGCTTAGAATACTTTGGATAGACAAAAAATGTCAATTTCCAACCAGGAGACAGAGACGCGTCGAAGTGCACCAGTTTTGTTCCGATTGGTGGACCCGAAAAGGTCGAACTAGAGGCGCCCAGAAGGGAGGCTGCCCCAGGTCCCAACTTCTGGGCAACGAACATTTGTTCATTTATAATAAATGGAAAATATATTAATCTCTAATTTAAAATTAAACGCTCTAAGTTATTTATTATGCATGGAGAAGTGTTTTTGGTTTATGAGTTGGGGAAGGACGAACGTTTTTGTTTGAAGAGGCCCCGTTTATCAACTGCTCCAGGCCCCTGGTTATTTCTGGGCGCCCCTTCATCGAACCTTGGATGGACGTAGGTCGTTCGATAGATAGTACAGGCTCTTAGACACGTCTTTTTATTACAAGTGGGTTTCCAGAGATCTCTCAAGCCAAACAATCACTAACATGAACATCGTCGATTTCGCACCAAAAATTGATATTTTGAAACCAATACGGCCGATTAAATGGCTCCGAATGAGAGCCACTTCTTCACTAGTGGTCAGTTCAAGATGCATGTATTGGTGATTCGTAAAATACATAAATACCTGGATTTATTTTGTTTCCACAATTCCCTATCGGGTTAACTAGATAGCTATATTATATTTTACCATATAACATTTTCGAGGAAGAAATTGTAAACCGTCATTATTCAAATCTAAATACGAATTGAAAATACAGCTCTTAATCTTTCAAGTAAAAATATAAAATTGTGGGGACGTTAGCAGAGTAATCACTTCAGTTGGCAAGCCTGTTGGCGAATCAATCTCGAGTTCGTGAGTTTGATCTCCAACTTCGTAACTGAATGTGGGCTTACCTTTCAACGTAGAGAGGCGCACTGAATGGAAATGGAAACGGAATGATGATGATATCGGTGATGGCAGCCTGCCACTTGCCAATGCCCAGGCTTGTTAGTTGACGGTCTGTCAGGTTGGTTACAAAAATTGTTGAGCTACACAAATAAACAAGGATACCTGAAGTCAGTATTGCTTTTTTATTCTCATATTATAGCTACTTTTGTGTTAAATACTATTATATTAATTAATAATCATTAAATGAATTCAATAAATAACCCAATAAAATAATAACAATAATAATAATAATAACGATAATAATAACGATAATAATAATAATAATAATAATAATAATAATAATAATAATAATAAAATCAACAATAATGTCATATTTCTATCCAATATTGAAATTCTAATGAGTTCATTCTGGACTACAAATATATCAGTTCAACTACGCACTTAAATTGCATGCATTTCATCAGGGTTTCCCAGACGCAGCCCATTATACCACCAAGTCGCTTCCGTTTTCCTCCACGCTCGTCCGAGTATACGGCGTTATATGGGCCTTTCTAGAATAAGAAAAAAGAAACATTAATAGAAAAATAACAGAATTACCGTAAGCTAAAACAAATACATGTTAAAATGTACATTCTAGTTCGATAACATCAGCTGCTCTCTGACAGTTTTCCATACATCCCTGCAGAACATTAATATTGCACCAGACTTGTCTCCCGTTCAGGTCTCACAATCAGAAGAGTTGATGTGTGCACGGGGGGGGGGATCTGACAATTTTGAAATACGAGGGTTGGGGCAGACGCCATGGCAACTTTTTTTTAAGAAATGTTATCGAATCGCACAATTTTATTTGTAGCCTGTAAGAAATGCTGCAGGAAGCGTGTTCACATTAACAGCTAGCTCGTCAGTGTTTCTATTAGCACAGACAGCAACGTGAAATAATTTGTCCGACTGCCGCCATGTTTCACATTAACAGATACCTCGTCAGTGTCTCCATTAGCACAGACAGCAACATGAAATCATTTGTCCGACTACTGCCATGCGAGATGACTGCCGCCATGTTTCGAGCAGCGCTCATATTCCAAGACAGACGTTCTGCTTAGATGAAATGCCCGAGAATGTCACAGGAAATTGGGGAAACCTCTTGAGAATAATGCGCTTGCATACCGGAGAGTGGCGGGATGCGCAGGAGAGTTTCTGGAACGGTGTAGCAAACAGGGATCAGTAACGCACGTGACAACCTGTGAGAGGGTGGACCGATGTGACACGTGCGCTACTCGAAAACCAGACCAACTGAATCTTTGGAATGGGCATGCAATGCTTTTGTCATGCTGTGAACTAATTCACGCTAACATGCTTTGGAACATCAAACCAGTTGTTTGAAATACCTTAATAAATGTAAGAAACACAATTTTAGTGTTCATTAAAATTGTTCATTGATTGTTAGTAATTCCGGGCACGTCAACTAGGGCCATTATTCCCATAAGTGTAGTGCATGTTTTGCTAGGTATGTGTCGGTAGTCTTCCCCGCTGTATGGTTAGATCCGGCACCGACCTACCATAGATTAGTGGGGTTTCCCCAACCAGGTATCTCCCACCAGCGGGGCACCGTCCCAGCCGGGACAAGCTCTAACCTCCCGAAGGGTCTCCCGGCATGTGTGGTAGTGAAATGCATGTAAGTGTAAGTGCGTGTAAGTGCGTGTACGGGTGAGGATGGGACAAGGAATGGGGAGGAAATATCGCGCGCGGTTCGTGCCTCGTTTGTTAGGGTACTATTCGCCCGGTATTGATCGAAGAAACCACGGAAAAGGGCCGATCAGAGCAGACGACTGCTAGAATTTTCCTCCAGACAGCGAGTGAATTCGACCTAGCTCAAAACCTAGAGTCAAATATCCTGTCACCGTCGGGACTAACCTAGGACCTCCCGGTCAGAGTCACTCTAGTGACATAAATTGATGTATTAAGGCATCTACCCCGTTATATGCCCACGCACTTAGTGAATACATTGCCCTTTCATGTTATTTCAAATTTTCCACACCTGCTTGCATTCTCATAAAAAAATAATTGTCATGACATTTCTTCGTAGTTTTATGAAATAAAAACAATATTTCCGTAAATATATGTTTAATTCCTGTTTCCCCCATTTTAACATTATTTGAGAAATTGTTACAAGATTCCACATTTCAGTTATTGTGTCTTCGGCACGGCCTGAATTGACAGCCTGAGCTGAGTAATTGAGAGCGACGCATACGTTCCCCAAGTGTACTGTAGCCTAAATCCTTTGAGAAAGTGCATCCTTGGCCGTTCCAGAAACAATTTTGACGGGAGAGACACAACATTTTTGAATGGGAAGTGCAGTAGTTTGAAAAGGGAACCGAATGCTATGGATAAATTTAATGTATGAGAACCTTATAATTTGTTAACATTTTTAAAAATTTCAATCACACAAGGCAATAAAGATAACATTTTAAATTTAAAAAATATATACGTTTATTGATAATTTTAAGACTTTAGAGATACATTTATAGATATTTTATGACTCACATCGAATCATAGAATATGTTTTGTGTACTATTGCACCCTGTAGGCTATTCGGAGGAAACATATTTGGAGACGGACTTCAAAAACTCTGTCAATGGGTAGCTCTGAACATCCTGCAAAAACATCGCGCCCAGTGTCACTAATCCTGGGCAGCGCCTGCAGACAGCAGCCATTTTCAAGTTCCATGTGGCAAATCTCACAACTCCAAAGCAGTGAGCTTACGGCAACACCATATTTGGCTACACTGTAATAGGAGACAGTTCTCGAACGTTCCTAATCAATGAAAGGAAGCATGTAAAATGAAATGTCGGGTTTTTTGAAATCCAAAATCGGAGAAAACGTGGCGAACAAGTACGTTAACATCAAATACTAAAGAAAATCTTTCCTTTCAAAAGGTGGATGTGTATTATTTGGAAAGGCATTGCCTCTTTAACCTCTCTGCTGTAGCCGCCAGTGAAATGCGTTAACAAATATTTAAAAAAAGCATTCTCTCACATTTCTGACGATTACGTCCAAGTCCGTGTTCAGTTTCTTACGACGACTGTAGAAGGCGGTGTCGGTGTTCCACGAGAGGAAATTGGCGTTGATGAGCCATTCCCCGAGAACTTGCGTTCCATTGGTGGAGGGATGAAACTGCGGAGAGACTTCTCGAATCGCACACCTCTTTCCGTTGGACGCGCACGCTGCCTCCAAGAACAGACTGTCGGGATAGGTGTGCCAGGTAGTGTTGCTCGCCTTCAGTAGCAGCCACGTGAAAGGAACGTGCTGGGTTTTACGCACGTCCCAAAACGTGTCCTGGAAACGGTTGAATGAGAGAGTCAGTATTTCGTGTTTCCAACCACGTACTCTACTTTAGTCAGTAGTCCCCTGAGCAGTGGCGGCTGGTGCCCTAACCAACAAACTGGAGGCTTGCAGTTCCAACAAATGACGGGAATGTAATTTCCAAATGTAGGATTTCACGGCCGGTTTCTACATCATAATTAGTAATTTTCGGGTTTGTAGGCCGTGGTCCAACGGAGACTGGTCCAAACGTTTCGCCTGCAACTGTGGCAGGCATCATCAGTGGTGTTGCTGGCGGGGGGGAAGTACCCTTCTTGGCAGCACCGCGTTGACTGACGCTCCCGCGGCTCTGGGACCTGTATTCATGGTGAAAGGCGAGGTTCGCGCGCTCGCGTCTGATTGGGTCGCGCCACCGGTGCTCGCGCCTGAACGCCATAAACCAAATAAAGGTGTTGAACTACGACTTCATTTTATCTCTTGTCAAAATTACCTACTTGTTAACCGAAATATATTCGTTTGGACCACGGCCTTCAAACCCGAAAATAACTAATTATAATGGAATTTCCAAAGTTAAAAATTCTAAAACTTTACTACAAAATGTATGCAATGCATGTAAATCAATTTAAACTGGATTTTAAAAAACTATATTCAAAATTTATTTCAGGACATAATTTTTGGTGTAGTGTCTGTATCATACGTGTTCATCTCACACGCTCATAGGTCTGGCGTTGATTTCAAGTGCTCCTTCGAGTTTTTGTATTAGTTCTACACTGAGACCTGCCAATATAATTCAAACGCAAGAACTGTATACAATAGATTAAAGTTCCCGTATATCGTTGCCATTGGCGAATACAATTGAATTTAGTGAAGCCATGCCACTGGAAAAAGAAAGATATTATTTTTCACGCAAAATACTAACGTACATTTGAATTAGGTGATCGTACTAATACAATTACATCGCATTTACAAAACATGCAACCCTTGCATTGGTACTGACATTAACCCAAAAGATAATTAACATTATCGCATCTAAAATGACATCCACTTTCACACTTTTAACTAAAAGAGTAGAAAATAAAAATAAAAATAAAAATAAATCAAAAATAGACAAAAAATATAGAAAAACGACCATAAACCAAATAAAGGTGTTGAACTATGACTACATTTTATCTCTTGTCAAAATTACCTACTTGTTAAACGAAATATATTCGTCATGAACGTTTGTGTACCGTGCGCCCAATACTAGTTTGCAGGCTTGAGGCTGTTTAATACACTGTGGTCGCGTCACTGTGCGGAAACAGCCTGAGGGCTTCCCAATTAGGGTGCGACATAGAGTTTCTTTTCATTCATAGAATGAATCTGCACACTACACTTGGTGAGTTTAAAACAGAAAGAACCGAGAACCCCAATTAAAAGCTTGGAATATTCTTAATCCTCCACAAATTGCACATTTCAGGCTTTAAGCATATGAGAGAAAATCATTTGACTTGTCATAAAATAATGACAAATGCAACTAGTGCGCCAGTCAGACTTGCATCCATCTTTGCCTCTGCCATGCAACTGCTCTTCTTACAATCGATGTTCAAAATTAAAGCGTTGATATTAATAAAACTTCACGCCAAACCATCGATGTTTTTATTACTACATTAGTAACTATTTAGATTCAGAGGGGGTAATTTTACATTGGTTGCATGTATTAATATTTAATTGAGATATGACAAAATACGTGAAAAATTATTAGAACAATCAATTTATTATTTGATTGAATTATTCAAAAGTAGCATAGACTTAATTTATAGGTGAAACGAATTTAAATTATTTTTCACTCTTGGCCACCTTGTCTGAAGAATTTCCAATTTATGTATCTCAAAATTATTACAAGTCTTCATTCTGATGATGCTTTTTTCCATTAAAAATAAAATATCAACCACTTAAAACCAACGTTCACAAAACGATATTAAAAAAATATTGGCTTCAGAAAATCAATCTCAAAATCACGGATTATTTTGTAAAAAAAAAAATCGATGTCGATGTTTTGAGTACATCGAAATCCTTGTCGCACCTCTACTTTCGAAGGCTGCGGATTTCCGCAAAATTACCTTTTCGTGAACTCTTAGATCGAGACACCACCATACCGGGTTGGGGGGGAGGGGGCTTTCATATCCGCATTGGGTACTTACGTTCACCATCATTTTCACGCGTTCCCTGATCTCTCGGTGATCGAAGGGCACAAGCACCAGGCGGCAGCACAGTCGCTCTCGCTTGGCACGGCCCCAGAGGAACACGCCGCGGAGGTCGCGCACGGAGGCCAACGCGTACCCAGCCACCGCACGGAACCATCGTACGGTCGCCTGTTGCTGCAGCAGTGGGACGACCGGCCTCGACTGGTGCAGGGCTAAAGGTGCATTCGCAATGTAAACATAAACATAAGCATGGCGTTAACATAAAAGTTACGGCTACGTTCTTAGGTGGACTCATTCACGATGCATTCGCCTGAACATAACTCGTAAGACGTTAACTTAAAAGCTTGCAAGCTTCAGGCTTCTGTGCTTATGCTTAAGACATAAGAAATTAGCCAATCACAGTACGGGAACTCAAAATAGAGTATCAAAATAGGATGAAACTCGATATTATATCCGGACGTTTTCTTGAGCCCTGGAATATCGACCTCCACTCCTTTCCCAACATTAGTTGCATTATGGGATCAATGATAGCAATGATTGTTGTGGACAAAATCTAGAGACGAATGTTTGTTCCCGTGTATTAAAAAGTATTTTGCATGAAAAAATGACGTAAAATTCCTTTAGTCAAAATAACCAAACTCCGCACTCCATTCTCATCTAGCGAAGCAAGGACTCAAGAAAACGTGCGCGGATACACTAGGGAGTTTGTGTTACCTCGAACGTTAAAGCACAATCGATCTTCTGAGCATATGTAGTTTAAGTTTATCACCACTTTAGTGCAACTGCGCATGCGCAGAAAATTGATAGTGCTGACGCTATGGCGAGCACAAACTCCCTAATAACTAACGCCATGTACCATGAGCCACGGACACAGTCGATACCTTGAAATCGATTCTCACATCCAACGAAAAGTAAACAAGAATGTCTCACAGCCAACAGAAACTCTTATTTTGCTTACGTTTATGATAGACATTGTAAATTCTTCAGTCTATTACTTATGTTAACGTTTACGTCTGTGGATTATGCTTACGTTTGAGTTTGCATTGTGAATGGGTCTTAATCCTTGAAAGGCACAAGAATCGGAAGACTGTGGGCGCGAGGGGACGTGTGGGGACGGTAGAGGACGGGTTTCAAACCCGCAAATATGTATGCGAGTTGGAAACTCACCTTTCGTGAATAACAATATAGCAATAGTGTTCCGAAACAGTACAGTAAGCGCTTGTGAGTGTTCCATTGATAAACGTCTCGGTGTCTTTCAAAATGAAATTGAAAAGTATTAAAGACAACACTTTCAAACTTAATTAAATAGTAAAAACCAAAACATTCACTTGTCAGTTGAATGTGAGCATTTATTACTGAATATCTTTGCTGAATGGTTATAAAAGAACCAAGAATCGTCGCACCTACATCTCATTAAAATTACAGCAAACCTTTACTAAAAAGAAGGATTGACTAATTTAAATTACCCCAGTTTAAACTAGTAAACTGTAGATTGTTTTAATAATATTTTGACCCTTCCTTCAATTACTAGGAACACTGCGAATTTCAATACTTTTGGCCAATTGAGTAGTATTGTATCAATTGCTAAACCGCGTTACTTAATGGGTTTGTCAAGGAGGAAGGAAGCGGTGAGATACACCTTGTGAATGTATTAATTGAAGGGCTTTTCGAAAAAAACAGCATTAGCCCAAAAATCTAGTTTGAGAGAAATGAGAAAAAACCTCCACCTTCCTCTCATCCTCCTAGCTCATATTTTTATTCGTTGTTTCCTTTGGGACTAATGCACGTTAGTCCGAGTCAATATTATCCTCTGATGCATATAAGTTCACACTATATGTGGTATCATTAACTTCATTATCTCAATTTTCACAATATTTCTCAATATCGCTGGTTTTGTTCCGAGAATACTTCAATTGACATTCTCCAAAACTATTGGATTCCTTCAGAATTTCTTACAAGTAGCAGTGCTAAAAACATGTGAATTTGTATTTCATTCAGTACCAGAACTCAATGAAATATACAATATGTTGTTGCATGGTAGTTTCTATGTGTTTTTCGTGATGTGTGTGTGTGTTGTCTATATATAATGTGCTTGTGTGTCCCCTGTGGTTGGCGCCAGGAAGGGTATGCGGTCGTAAAAAATTATTGTTTTATGATTATATTGATTCTATTAATTTTGGAAGTATATTCAACCATTTATAATTACCTTGAAATATCAAACTGTGTCCACATTTTCTCTTTTCATGCACGATTTAATCGTTTATTTATTTACGTCAAAAACCGTTAAAAACTGTGTGTGACCTGCAATGAGGAGAAGTTAATTTGAAGTTACATTTATGTCCAGAAGCAAAACAAGGGGCCACCTCAGTATTTGCTCGAGGATCAGGGACGAAAACCTGATCGAGAGGGGGGGTCATTGACTCAGAAGCTAAAGTGCAATACTTGTTTCAGGTTCTTTACAATTATACGATCCAAGTGGTAAATAATAAATTAAATGTCATTGTTAAAATTAATATTACTTTCCTTGTGGATGCTCGGAATAAATGGAAAAAAAATTGAGTGTACAGAAAATCAATAAAAAATGAGCCCGCCCCCATTAACGCCGTCCCTGTAGAAATGGAAAAATGGCGAGGATGAAAAAAATCAGGGTAGCAGTCTTTCGTCTCTATGACATCTGCGGAGTGTACAAATTCCTCACGCAAACTATCTGCCAGTGTAGCCCGCTACCTGTCGAGACAACCTGTCGGCATCTGCAGTGGACTACCGCGGGAAATCTGGTTCTAATGATTGCATTTGAGCAACAAAGTATTTTGGGTCACAGAATGACAAAGTTCTTTGTGACATTTTTCGTGCAAATTATGTATTGACTCATATCTAGACTACCTTTGTTAAGCATGTTCCATCACTATTTTTATATCTACAACATGTAAAACCAATTTTCAACTTGTACTTGTACAAAACCTTTCATGGACAAAATGACGTTGATCCATTTCCATTGGTATGTATCTTTATTAGCCATCTCCAATCTTTCAAACTGCCTGTTGGTAAACTTCGCTCTACGTTAGACAGAATCTTGTCATTCTGAGACCGCATTTCCTCAAGGAATCGATTAGTTTTCGTCCGGCTCGGTAATGAATAAGAGTCGCTTTTCATGTGCCAGAACAGATGTCGTCGCGACGAAAGCTGAGATGCCGACGTTTCGACCGTTATATCTTGTTAGAGTACAACTGTACAGACTGTACCCGAGTTATAAAGCGATGGAGTCCAAACATGGACATCATTGTCTTCGACGCAACGTTATCCTGACAGCCATTCTCATAACTGATCTTGGAAACCTACGGTATCAAGAGCCGCTTCTCTTCATACTTACCAGAGCTTCATTAATATCTTATGGGGCCCTAAGCATGGAGTTCCCTACTAATATAATGAAATACTATAGAATGTACAAAAATCTAACATCAGTACAGAAATAAATGCATGACGTTCAACTTACAAATTTAACATTCAAAAATTAAATTATCCATTCATAATAATTTTAAAATAACTTCATCTACCTTTAAGCTATGGTCTTTTTACTTATTGTATTTTTTAATTTGATTTTAATTTATTATTTCTGTAAATCCATAACAAAACCGTGAACAATTATTTTTACGTATTTATTAACAATAAAATTAACTAATGAACTAATTTTGTTCAAAACAAAAGAGTTCAGCTGCCGAAGTCAGCAACTACTTGGTGCCCGAGAGACGCCGGGCGTCTTAGGCACAGGTGTCAACGCCATTCTGCGCCCTTTCTCAGAGCGAAATGAGGAAGGTGACAGAATGACGATCGAAACGTTGGCACCTGTGCCTAGGACGCCGCCTCTCCCTGACAGTCAAGTAGTTATTGTTCGAAGTATCATTGAGGATCTCGATCCAGCGAGTGTTCTAAGCCCTTTCTTGCTCAGCTTACGTGTCAATCCACCTCCGCACTCACCAGGTATCTTCGGAGCCGGTGAAATGCCTGTCGCCTGAGGAAGCAGTGCCACCTCGTCGAAGTAGTGCCGAACTCGCAGTGCGCGCAGCAACTTCATCGTCTGCGCAGGGTCGAGCGGCGTCAGGAACCTGTCGCTCTGCGCCGACCTCTGGTGCAGCAACGTCTCCTTGTGCACTTCTTCCGCTGCAAACCCCTTGTGGGCCACCAGCACAGTGGGAGCGACGATCAGTAGAACCTGTTTCATGGAAAGAAATGAAGTGACGCAGATGTGAAAAATGGGCGATATGAAAATGGGTTTGTCGAAAAGAACGACCCTCTTAGGATCATCAATTGATGTTCAGCACTGCCCCTGACCAGGATATCCGAGGGTTCGAGTCCCGACAGTGCTAAGTTTTCGACACAAGTAGGTCGAACAAGCTAGGTCGAATTCAGCCGCTTTCTGGAGGAGAATTCTAGCAGCCGGCTGCTCTGATCAATAGTTTTCCGTGGATTCTCTGATCAACACCAGGCGAATATCGGAGCAGAACCCTAACAAACGGGTCATGGACCGCACGCGATCTTGCCTTCCTCTTCCTTGTCTTATCGTAACCCTTTACTCACATACGCCCTTACATGCAGTACACTGCTACATGTATCTGGAGAACAGTCTGGTGCATAGAGCTTGTCCCGGCTGGGGCGGTGCCCCGCTGGAGGGAGATACGTGGTTGAGAAAAATCTCGCAAGTCGACGGGTAGCTCGGCACGGGATCTTGCAATTACTCTCAGAGGTCGTAATGCCAACCTTAGCTAATTATGAGTCATGTGCAATATCATCTTTAAATAGCAATAAGCAACTAACAGTATGTTATGCAACTGACAGTGGAAACACAATTAAAAACATTTATCTTTGTTAATTTGTGTGCCATAATGAATACTGCTAACGGTAAATGTTTTGCAAGTTTAATTTGTTGTTCTCCCTATAAATTAGTTTTAGTTCATTGTTTGTTTAATACCTTCGATTTTTTGTTAGTGGTGATACATGAAAATGTAGCACGTTTTAAAATATTTACGAGTACAATTTTTTAAAGATTTAACCCTAATAATTTACCTTTAGTTTTAGATCAAGAGCTACACTAGTTAAATGTTTTATTTAGCTTTTGTAGTAAAAAATTGTTTGCGAGGACGAACGAAATAAAGTGCAGAGAGATATTAGCTCCCTTTTTATAAGAACAGGAGGAGCTCCATTCCTTAGAAAAGAGAAAATAATAATATTTCAATACACTTAACTACAATATATGACTGAAAAAACCGGTTGTATATGAAGTATGTAAGTTAATCTACTAACTAAATCGTAGGATTAATGTTTGGTGTATAAAAACATTTCAGAAGTTTTATTTAGATATTTCTTCGACTCTATCATAATCAGCAAGTTTATTAATACAATGAGCTGATAACATTCTTAATTTGTTAATGGGTCTTTTGTGTAGTTTTAAATAATGTAATCATCTGCCGGGATTCGCTGCGCGGATTACGTCATCTGCCGGCGCCCCTCCTTCCTGGACGGTTCCGGGCTATTCGCGAGTCGCGTGGAAAGGTGAAGCAAGTGCCGGGTGTGTCGAGACGAGCGCCGGCCATGTATAAATTCTCCACTGCCGGCGGCCGCTAGTTAGTGTAAGTAGTAGTCGGAAGTAAGCAGCCGCGAGTCAGTTAGTGTGTGTAATCAGTCAAGTACTAAACAGTCAGTCCGTCAGTGTGTCTGAAGTGGAAGCTGAGCTGTAAAGTGTGCATTGGGGTGAACAGTGGTGCAGTATGGTAAACAGCAGTGCAGTGGACCCTGGTCTGCGCAGTGAATGGTGGTCAGCGCAGTGGACCGTAGACAGTGCATAGGACTGTGCGATAGTGTGGATTGCTGAGAACAGTGTAAATAAATAAACAGAAGAAGTGAACAGTGTAAATAAATAATCAAGAGAACGGAGTCGTGTGTAAGGAAAGTAATCAAAGGAAGAACACAAGGACTCAGTAATCTACCTGTAAATAGATTAAGTAGTTTTAGTGTATAATTGTTTACGAATAAACTTCTTTGTTAAATAATACCTGTGAGTGTGTTTTAATTCACCACTGAGATTTAATAATGTAAATTGTTTTAATATTTATTTTAAGCACTTACATATATGTTTAATAAGTGTGTAATGTATCACGTAAACTAGATACTTGAATTATAACTTTACGTTAATGTAATTTAATTTAATTCTTGCTATAATTTAAATATATTGTTTATTGTAATCATTTCAATATGTTTTAACATGTTACTGAAAGTTACTGAAAACTTATTAAACTATTACTGTAAGTTAATGTGATTAAAAATAAGTCTTATTGTAATTAAAATTAATAGTTAGACTTCTCTTGATACTTTTCGTGTCTACAAGCAATTGCTTAGATGATTGGGAGAGCATTAGCAGACGAGAGAAGTTCTGTGGATCGCCTTGCTGTATTATCGTCAGACAAGAAAATTCTGAAGACACACAATTGACAAGATTAACACTTTGCAGCAAGAATAATTAATTATTGAAGAGATTGTCATGGTTATCTCTGGGCGAAAATAAACGTTATCTGTACGTTCTACATCATTCATGATTCGTGCTTGTCCATGCTGCTTCTTGCCGCGTTTCGAATCGGTGGTTCACGGAGCCTTCATGATAATGTTTGCTGCCAAACGTACCAACCAACTTTTACTGCGCCCAATACTTCTTTACACGATTGCTACGAAACTGCTCGCGTCTCCAGATTCTCAAACAATGCGATCTCGTCGCGTCTCATATGGAAAACTCGAATTCCAGGAAATTTGTACAATGTGCAAGCTTTGTTGTCGGCAGGCCAGGAGGTGATGCGATATACCGGTCACATTTGAAAGCAGTTAAAGGTCCATTCCAAAGAACTTCATATAAAATTTTTTTTTTTATTTTTGAGAGAATTTGTTTGTTTGTTTTTGTTTTTGCCAAAATTAAGCCATCTCGAACGCGCCAAGTTTGAAAAGTATCACCTTTTCTTCTTAAATACCTTCAAAGAGTAGCCAAACTGAACGGTCTCCAAGCGTGGCGCCAAATTTGAATTACTTTGGCCGCCTATGTCCCAACATTATTACAATGTGTTCTAGGGTTATTATAGTGGGGCACCGTATCTCTTTATGAAAGTGAAGATTGACTCCCGCCCTCTCAACTGAAAACACTACCTGTATGTGATTACTAGAGCCCGAAGTTCAGACCCATTTGACCCAAAATAGCAGCCAAAAAGACATTTATTTTTACGGAAATATGCATCAAGAAAGGCATTTATTTAGAGCTAAAGTAGGGATGCATAAAGACATGTAAACAATAAAAAAATCACATTTAAAAGGAATTATTGTAAAGAATCAATAATGAAAATCATTCATATTTTTATTTTAACTCTAAAATTTACGTTTGCACTTAAGGTGTACAGAGGCTATCTTTTCCTTGTAATCTTGATCCCACATGACTATTCGGTACGATGGCTACGAATTTGTTTTATTCGCGTCACTGTCTCTTCGAATATCGTGAACTCCCTTTTTAACCTTGAAAGTTTACCAGTGAATGTGAATAGTGAATAATTTCAACACAATTATATTTTCGTCCTTCGCACTTTACCAGCACTGAGAAGGGTATATCATATACAGAGTGTTGCCCTAAAAAGGAATAGAAAACTATGTTCAAAAGTAGAATGGAATTCCTCGTGAGCAAACAAAGCCTGTCGGCATCAATGGAAAAAAAATTGACTGGTATTATTTTTCTTTCCACTCAGGGTTTTAAAACATCCTCTGAGCGACTGAAAGACAAAACACGGCCGTGTCTTCGTGATCTCCAAGCTTGCATGTATCAGTCTTGAACGTGATCTGTTCTAAAGATAATAAGCAAAATAATGTAAAAGGCAGAAAACGGCAAAAGTGAACCAATTGGCAAAAATAGGCATCAGAAGGTAAAGTCGGCAAAAAAAAGACGTAGTGAAAATCTGCTAAAACACCTCCAGATGAACAATTATGTGATTGCTATTGTCAGAAATCAAAAAATAATGACAATAACAAAAATGCATTTTGCCAAACTTCTGGACTCTAGTGATTGCAATACAATGTATATTTTTTCTCTGCTAGCATCTCTGGTCCCTACTACTAAACTACAGGTTAAAACTGTCTTTCTAGTTTGCATCACAAAAAGGGGGGGGGGAATGTCAATTCGTTTTTTCAATTGTTTCTGATTTAAAAGCTTTTTTAAAAATTGATTTAAGTGTGAAAGAACACATTTGAATATTATCTTATTAATGCCTAGATCTAAATAGGTATCGTTCAAATATTTGAGTTTACCGCCTGTTGGGGACAGTCACCCAAATATGTGAAAACTGAAATAGAAAATTAAGCTATCGGTTAATGCTATAGTACGGTAGGACAGGATCTTGTTTCCTGAATGTATATCGTCTGAAATAATATCTATAGCTTCTTTTTTCTGAATCTCATGAAAAATTTATTTAGAGCAAGGACAATATAAATTTGGACAATACAAGGATATTATTTTTATCGGCCTGAATGATCAATATTTACTTACATTGGTAACAGGTGTGATTCCAAAGCACAGACACATTCCGTGTCTGTGCTTTGAATCTCCTTGGCTAACTGTTATTGGTCGTATTCAAATGCTTCTGCACATGACCAAACCACGCGCCCGGCATGGTCGTGATTGATGTCAATAAAAATTTTTGAGTTTTACATGTGTTGTTTTTTGCCAAATAATTGAGCAAAGGCATCACGTTGAATTTTTGTATAAGTGCATGGCCAAGGAAATTAGTCATGGAGTTAGATCCATCAAAGTGAGTACCTGAATCATTCTACTGTGTATAATGTTTACATGTATTCGTGTCTGCTACCACAGCAGTACTGTGTATTGAAACTGAAGAATGCAAATTTGAAACATCGAATTTTAATGTTTTAAGTTTTAACTGACATAACAAATCCTTTTTTAACAGTGATGAATTTCTTAAAGCAGGCATCATGAAAATAGAACATTGCCTGTCTTACATGCAAAGTTACTGGAAAGGATACTCAGCATCAGCTGCAAGGAGAAAAAAGGAATGGATCGAGTTGCTGAATGATTTGGAGGTTAGTTGAAATAAAAGCAAGGTGTATATTAGAATAGTAAGTACATAAGTACAAGTAACCTTCGTTTCACTCTACTAAAATGAATTGGTATAACTTGTTACAAAATAGCTGTAGACAGGTACCTAATGTTGTTCCTTGAAATCACAGTTCATTATGTGTAACATTCATTGGTTGCATGTTGGTTTGAAATTATTCTCTAAACCTTCAGAATTTGATTATTGTAAATTTTCTCTTTTACATCCATATAATTGTGATAAGCAAGTTACAGATAGCTTCAGTAACTGAATATTAACTTAGAATACAATTTTTTTTCTCATATTAGTAATATGTGGTAAATTATACCAACCTATTTTGTAAAGATATGAAAATTAGAAATTTGTTTTTAAATTTTACAAAATGTTATTTGATTGATGAACTAAATAGTCAAAATTAGTGTTTTGTTTCTGGTAAACTTCGTTTTATAACTGATGCACTAAAAAGCTTTGAAACTGTTTGTTCTATAGCGATTACCTTTCAAGTTCAGAATTAATGAACTACGCAAAGAAATAAAAATTATGTGGGACAAATGTTATAAAAGTGAGCAAGAGAGGAAGTTATTTACAGAATTTTATACAGATAATTATTCTGAAAGTTTACTCATGAAACATGGAGAAGAGCTGGAAAAACTCAATGTCTTTTACCTTCAGCACCAGTAAGGGAAAATGACGTGCATTGTATTTAGTGATTTGTATATCTGTGTAATGTGCATTAAATCTTTGTTTCTTCAGGGAACTGATAGACCTTTTACTAAAGTATGAAGAAATGTGTAAATGTGTAACAAATATACAGAAGCAGACCCAAAACCCTGAAAGGTTATTTAAAAATCGGGGGGCTCAATTACTAAAAGAAGAGCATGATAGAAAAATGATAGCTAGAGTAAGTATTATTATGTATTGAAAAAACTAAATTTTGGAGGGATTTTTTTTTTTTTTTTTTTTTTTATATAAGCTCAATTTTCAATTCTGAGAAAAGCCAAGGAGGATTGACTATTATTAATTGTTATAGCTTCCTCTTACAAGATAGTAGTAAGCAGCTACGTAATGTTTAATATTAAATCCAGAGGAAAAGTTTAGTTGATGTAATTTTAATCAATCACATGCAGAAATATTTTGTGCTTTGTAGTTATGTAAACCCATTGTGTATTTTGTTATTTTTGACAATGTAAACTATAGTTTAATTCCCTTACGAATTTCTTTTTGATTTACTTTTTATGTAACATGTAGGCATATTTAAGCATCAATAAAAGAAGATATTTATTTTTGGTAATTATATTTATACTATTTCTATCATATTTAATTTTGCCAAATTATTGCCCAAATTTTACTTTTGAAACCTGATATATTTTGGATTTTAATCAAGTAGGTTTCAGCTAATGACACGAGTACCGCTTTTGTATCTTGAGGCATTACCTAAGTGAGCTTAAAGTATTATTAAGAATCACATTACCTCTGAAAAGTAAGATAAGGTTGCTTAAATGTTAGAAATAACTTTTATCTGGCAAAAGAAAATTGTTGTCATCATTATGACACTGCTGTCTTTAAGCTCTCAAAAGCTTTTGCAAGTTTGGTAATTAAATATTTGTATTCTGTCATAGAAGAAATATTTTAATACAACTGTGACAACGGAAAAATAAAAAAAATGCAGTTGGTAGAATGAAGCTTTATGTAGATAGTAACTCACTTTTCAACAGTCACACTTTGTTCAATTTGTAGCTTATTTATATTATCTAGGTCAGTTATTGTCTTCACCTCGTGCAGAATAATTTGGAACATTTATACCTTTATTCACTTTTGGTTTAAATTGCTTTCCTCTTTTTTAAATTAAATTTACGAATTCAACTAAATAAGTGAATTTGTCTTATTTTGTTTATTATAAGCCAATTTTCTTAGTATTTAATGACTAAGCCAAGCACTGAATATAATTAAATAGAAATATATTTCAAAATCCATTAGTTGTGAAACACTTCTCTTAAACTAGTTTTACATTCTCTTCTGACATGAAAAATGCTATTATGGTTTTATTTTCCTTAGATTCCACATATGCAAAACATTATCTTGAAAGCTATCAGGAAAAAAGAATCAGAAGGAATAATATTTCTAATTTATGGTCAGCACTTCTCTGATGTAATAAAGCAACACAACACAAAAATAGAGGAGAAAAAGGCTGTTAAAAGATTATCGGTAAGTCTAGATTGTAGGTTTATTATTGTGAGTACATTTACTATTTACTTATTACATTTACTGTTGTGTTTCACATTTCCATTAGTAAAGGAAATGTGGTGATTTCCTTGTCTAAAAGGACTGGAAGATATACTAAATTAAAATGATAACTTTTGTCTTTTTCTATGGAAGGGGTAACACTTTACCGAAATAAAAATTAATATTATTAACCTTTAGATACCTACTCCTCCTGTTTTTTCATCCTAAAAATACTTCAGAATTTTTTGTACCTTTTGTCATTGAACAAAAAGGAAATATCTCCCTAACATCTTTTTTCAAGGATTGTGAAAGGACATTCAATTGCAATCATTTAATGAATTTGAACAATTAACAAAAGAGTAGTTTTGCTCCATGTAAATGTGTGAATTGATGTAAATAAAATGCATTCACATTTAGATAATACCACACACTTTGGAAACTTTGATATCTGTAAATGTAATTCTTTGTGCAGTTGTTTGCAAAATGGTACATTTATCATTCCTCCAAATTTTCCTTTTTTTAAGGGGGATACTTAACATGAAAGCTTCTTATTTGGCAGTGTTTACTGGAATTCACTGAATAAAGTCAAGTACTCAAAATATTAAGATTAGGCAATTTAAAAATGTATTAACAGATTTCATAAGAAACTGTCACAGAGGTACACAAGACTTCCAATATGCTTGTAGATTAATATTTTACAAACAACTTATGAATTTAATCCAAGTAGCACCAACCTTAGTTTAGTCACGTGGTGTATCAAGGGGAGAAACTGAATGTAAACAAATTCATGGTATCTGTGGCTATGTGTGAGAAGGGCCAATGTCAGTTTTTAGTAATTGAGTTCCTATAGCTAATGCCTGCTTTAAAGCCCCTTCTTTCAATACTAGATAGGCCGGAGTGAAAAGGCGATCATACCTCCTAATTTCACATTGATTTACATTGGTCTACTATTGTTCTGCCAGTTCGATGGTGTAAGAAAAAAACCCATTCAGTTAAACTTTGAATATTGACATTGGCCCTTCTTGCACCAAGCTACAGATTTGTATTATCACTACTGGTACATTCCTGGAAATTAGTGTTACTTTTACATTTGGTACAAATAGAACTTCACCAAAACATTAAATTATAATATATTTTAAATCACTTTCAATTTCAACTTGTGAAATAAGTCTACTTCAGTCTAAATTATTTTTTACCCAAGTCCATTGAACATGACCTATTGTACTTAACTTGTTTCAATGTGATTTTAGCTTGTAATAACGCAATTCTACAGTAGGACACATTCTTCTGTTTTAAAAATTCCGAGCAAATAGGCCTAGGAATAATTCATGTGCCATGGAGGATAAAGAGGGGAAAATATAGCCATCAGGGAGAGAAAACAAATAAAAGAAAGAATATGAAACCCATTTGTAAAAGTTGCTAATGGAACCTTTTTACAAAGTTTTACTATCAATTGTCTGCGAAGATTTTCAAGTCTACATTTTGTCATATGCTCTTACATACTTTAACTTCATACAATGCAAGTGGATCCAAATGGAATAAAATATTATAGGTACTAATGTATCATGTTGTTATTGTATCACTACACCACTCTCTCCCTACCAAATTATCCTTTTTTATATACTGAGTTCTGTAAGATGAACACCTTTTTCAAAAGCTGGAAACAATATCAAGTCAACAGACAGTATTAGGATGTACTTGAAAATTAATTACAGACGAAATGTTTCAGATACATTTAGATAGGTTTGTTGCTGGTAACAATTGTGATTCTTTTTACAGGTGAGAAGTGCATCTCTTAGGGGCTCAGTGCTGAAACGATGTCGAACAATGGATAATATCAGAATTTCTGATTGCTTGCCAAGGAAAAGTAATCATAGATCAGTGCAACATGCAGAAATGAAATGACAGATGCAAATAAGAGCAATAATTTTTTTGTAATAAAACTTTTTAAAATAACGTATGTTATGGCAAAAAAATAGTTTTGTCAAAATGTTGCCCACTATAAAAAAATGTTTATAAGATTTTAAGATGATTTCTGATCTCTTATTATTTATGTTTTGTAATTTTTTTTTTTGTGTGTAAAAAAATTTCTGTTAAAAGACATGCTTCAGTGCTGTCAAATTATTTCAATTTCATAAATAATTATTGTTAAAAGAATATTACATTTACGAGAGGTACCTGAGAATTTGTTATGAATTTGTAAGGTGATGATTTGGAATGGCAATATTTGTGACAAACTACATGAATCGAAGTAAATTTTAGTGTTTGGCAAAATTTCTTACAAAGTTAACTCCAAATATTTCAGGGAATGTTTTCTTTTAATCTCTTGTCTTCTTTTATTTTATGATCGTTCACTGCTCATTCATTTCATGTAATTTGTATTTGAAGTGTCATATTCCATTTGTAAAAATTTTACAAAAGAAAACAAAAATCCTTCCACACTGTCTTTGAACTGAAAGCCCTTCTTGAGGGGACTCCTTAACATAACAAAAATTGAAAAGTTTACTTTGGTAAATAAGAAAATGTAGATGTAATAAAAAAAATAACTCATTGAATTGTACCAAAGCACATCACTTATTGCCAGGTGAAGTGATGATTGTAGTGAGTGAATATTTCGCACATCCCCATCTCATTTATTAGTTATTTCCGTCATGTGTTTGCCTTCTAATTACTTTCAGGTCAATTTATGTTCTTGAATCTTTTTTCGTATTTTCTCGATGGATATTTGTCGGATTTACTTTCATGAAAATTTTTGAGAAGTTCCTTAAATCAGAGTGAAGAGTTGCAGAAATAATAAATGAACAATGTGCATCACATTGTTAATCAGTTCCTGTGCACAGTATTTTGGTATCTATGACTTGCATTAGGTAATATCTAACAGGTGGTGGAGTAATAAGACTGAAAATATATTCAATGGTTTTACATTGACTGAAAGTATTTCAATCCTTATCAGTTTTACCATGCAATGAAGTTCATAAAAATGTTTTTATGAAGTGTGAAATGATATTATTTTAACAATCCTTGCTCATTCATAAGTAGAACAGAGTAGCGGCAATATCAATATTTTTGTATTGTGTGTCATCATATTTTTTTGTTAAGCAAAGTTTTGACTCTGTGTGACTTCTCTTCTTGTATTGTATGGTCTGCAGAGGAATATTTAGATAGAATAGATTTGTCTCCCTATTTGTTGCATTTTTAATCTTTTACTTACAAATTCATTTTTATTGATTTTTTTTTTTCATTTCATTCTATTTGTTTTAGTTGTGATTCAAAAGTGTTTAGAGGAATTAAAATGTTTTCAAGATATTTCTAGTTTGTTTTTAATCCTTGTATATCCTTGATAATCCTTGTATATAATACTGAAATAATTATAAAAACTTGGTACTCTCTTGGGAAACAAATTTATTATGTAAAGTATATGAGGATTTAAATATTATGTTATATAATAACCTGGGATATCCAAAGGAGCACTTTGGCATATGCAGTCCTATATTCTATTGGTGTATTATGCGAGCTGAGGTCTTGCAATACTTTTCTGCACGTCTATGGCATTCAAAATCTGGTATCTTTATAATTGGATGCTACGTTCCATCAAACTTCAGTTCATCACATGATAATCACTAGAGCCCGAAAGTTTGGCAAAATACCTTTTTGTTATTGCTACTATTTTGTAAATTTTATCAATAGGAATCGCTTAATTGTACATCTGGGATGGTTTTAATTAATTTTCATTTTGACTATTTTGGCTCCTAATGCCTATTTTTGCCATTGGTCTTGTTTTTGTCTTCTTCTGCCCTTTTCCCTGTAATTACTAGAATTTCATTTTGCCTATTTTAGCTTCTGATTTCTATTTTTCTCATTGCATCTTTTTGGCTTTTTTCTGCATTTTTCCTCGTGATTTTGCTTTTTTCCTCCAAGCACCGATCAAGGTGGATGTATGCCTAGAACCCTGAACAACAGGAAGGAGCGATAGTGTTTTGTTTTTCCATGGAAGCAGAGACTGTGATAAAAATGTAAATGAAAAAGAAGATGATACCATTCAAGATTTTGTTCCCTCACAAGGAATTCCTTTCTTCTTTTGAGTATGGCCAACGATCCCTTTTGAGGATATCTCTGTGTACATTATTTCTCTTCTCCGTTTTCAGTGGTAGCTTACACTAGTGTGAGGTAAAAAAATATTCTGTTTTCCCTGATGGCATATCAAGATCCAAAACTGAGTTCACAATATCATTTCTAAGAGATAGCATTGCCAGTACATGAACTTCATAGCCATCATACCACTTCGTCTTGTGGAATCACCATTAAAAAGAAAATATAGTTTTCTTACATGTTAAGTGCTAATGTAAAATTTAGAGTTTGAGCAAAAATGTGAACACTTATTTTTCATGGTCCTCATGCCTTTTGCATTCCTACATTAGCTAGAATAAATACCTTTTTGCATGCCTATTTTAGGTAGAATAAATGCCTTAACTTCCTTGCTCTACTAATTTCAGAGGTCTTCTTCCTGGTCTTGTAGGAGGAATTCCATATTTGTTCATGTATCCCTGAACAATTCCAATACAAAACTTTTAGGAAAAACATTTATTAATCACTGGTGCGGTAACCAAGAATTATGAATTGTGACATTCCGCAGTCACAAATGTATCTTTTAGGTCTGTGTCACACGAGCGTTGCGCTGAAGCGAGCCACCTAACGCTGATGACTATGCCTATGAACAGTTCTCTTAACGATGTGCTTCAGTATATTCGAAATTTGAAGCAATTTTTCACAGATAAGTTTTGAGTTTTACAAAAACTTCATTTGAAGCACTTTAACTAACAAGTACAATAGTGTTTACAAATTGCTGTAACTGTGCATATTACCAGCGTGAGAAATATTTCAAAAAATTACATTGTATATTTTATTGAAAAATCAAAAAGAAAAAACTTCAAAATGAACTTTACGTCATATTATAAAGTGCAATTAGCACTATTAGTTCGAAATGTTGGAAGAAGAAAAATTGGAGTCGTTTTTAAGAAAATGGCGTTTGAGCATTTCTGAAAATGCAGAATTTTGAGCTAGTTTTCACAGAAAGTGGTAGAGTTTTCGAGAAACTTTATATGATATTATTTAATGCACATGTACTCATAAATATAATAATTGAACAAATTGGCGCTAATGTAAATATTAACGTGAGAGACAAAACAAAAATTTACTTTTTTGTAATTTGTGAAAAACTAAAAGAATAGAGCAATATGGCGTTTATGTCATTTCATAAAGTGCACTTATCACAATCCCTATTAAAAATTTAAAGAAAAAAATTGGAGCAGTTTTAGAAAAAGGTTTTTGTAATTTTTTTAAAATTGCACGCAACATTGCGCGAAAACTACTGAATTTTCAAAAAATGTTCAATACCATAAAGAAAGAACAAATTTTAATTGAGGAAAAAATCCGTTTGTAGTTGTAGGAGGACCCCGAAAAGAATTCAATATTTGAAAATTCATAGTTTACCGTGAAATTCGGACCTATGCCCCATTTATAAGGGCATTTTCCTCTATTCGTACAAACAATTTAAAGAATAAATTGGGAGCCGTTTTTGAGAAAATTTTTAAAATGCCCCAGGGGCCTCATGTAAAGTACCACCAAAAACTAATGATTTTCAAAATCGCAGAGCTTCGACTCAGGCCAAATGGACAGGGGTTTCTTCGGCCAGGAAAAAAAATCCTCAACATGGTTTAGGCGCTAGCGTTGTTCACATACACCAGATAGACGGACCGACATTATGAAGAAAAAATAAACAAACTTTTTCGTTATCAGGGGATCCCAAAACTTGCATTTCCGTTGAAATCCCGAAAACAATTATCCGCAGCATTACGTAACTTTCCCAACACCACGTATATTACTTCGTATATACGTAGGAAAGTAATAATAGGATTGATGTGGGGCACGCCCCTCCTCCTTTCCGGGATCCGCCGTTGTTGATTAATCTGTTTGAACTTTCTGAGCTTCATTCACGAGCCGCTACTGGTGGTCCCATATGTATTGTTTATCCTCACGAAAGATGCTCATAACTCGCAATGAATGTTTCACGTTTGTTTATTAATAAACACTCGTGTGATATTGAACGGTAATGAGAGTGTCTAGTTTTCACAATGGAATTTCGTGATAAGGGCTCCCAGAAGATTTTAACAAAACAGTGATGTATGATGAATTAGTTTACATTTGTATTGTATTTTTTAAAGACTTAATATGTTTTTAACGAATAATGTACTTCAGCTTCCGGGTCAATGACCCCCATCTCGATCAGGTTTTTGTCCAGTTTGCCTGATCCATTGAGCAAATGCTGAGATGGCCCGTTGTTTTGCTTCTGGACATAAATGTAGCTTCACTATGCGCACATTTTGTTGAACTCTTCTTTTGCTTGTAATGGTAAGAGTAGAGGTAAGGGCGAGTTGCGATTTTGTTAGCAATGCAGAAAAATCAAACTTGCAACTCGTGTACCGATGCAAATAAGTTTTCAATAACTCAGAAACCAAAATGACTATTTTTCAAATATTGTTATTCTTACGATTTTGTAAATTTCTCTATTTATGTTGAACTGGTACTCACTTTTCATCTATTAATAGTTAAAATGACGGAAAGGGATTCTGGAACACAAGAAAACGTGCGCAGATAATCTTTCCCCCCTACATCACATACAGTTTTTACTGTTTTTTGACTGAATAAATCTAAATCTAAAAAATATGTGATCAGCGGGTTGGGCCCGCAGAGTTTGAACGTCGCATCCATCCGGACGGACTGTGAGAATACAAGTGTTGATCCTTATGCCGCAAAATGTGAACGTCTTGAGAACGCGTGGGCAACAATTCGTAAAAACATATCTTAATTATGAGCTCAATCAATTTTTAGGAAACTTTGAGTTGGGTTGATCTTAATCATACACCTATTGCTTTCCTGGGGTATCAGCTCCTTAATTATACTACTCGTATCTCTGAGTATCTTAGGAATGTGAATAGTTGCATTGTAATTCCTCAGTTCACCGACTCACAAAGGCTCCCACACAATCAAAACTGATCAATATGTTAAAATCTAATCTATGTATCTATAAATCTAATTTATACAGATGCGAATGAAGAGCCACATAATGCTTGACATCAAACTCCTAAAATAAATAAATGCCCTTATTTTGATGGCGAGGCTCAGAACATTTAGCCTGTTCTTCCGCCTGACCATGAACTAGACGGCTAAACCAATTCTAATGGTTTTGAACAACGTCGGACAAATTGACCAACCCAGAATCTGATCACAACAGTTAATATGCTGTGATACTCAGGAGTGTGTGTTCAGAATTAATTTTCTTACGGGCTATAATTCCTTAACGATTGTTAGATTTTTTATTGCACTTCAGAACGAAAACTGTTTGTGAAATGAGATCTACTTGTGAAATATGGGTCTCAAAAAACGTAATAGTTACGGACAATTAAATCAGAAAAAGTCTGAATCCATTAATATCACTTTTGAATTATCTGATTGTTGTTCAACTCGCTGACCTTAGTGACGGGCGGACGGGTAGCGGGTATAACAAATTTTATAGCATTTCAGTCGGTCATTTTAGCTATGTGCGACCAATGATGTATTTACCACTATCGAAATCGGACTCATATTGAACACTTCTTGTAAAATTCCGTTCGTTCTTTTTATTGCGCGCGTTAGCTTAACGCCAGCGTCACAGCAAACACTTACATCACGGAATTTAGTAGAGCTTTATTCACTCTGAAGAAAAATTCTTCGCGAAATCGCGTTGGGAAACACGCCTTTTTCCCCAAGATAAATCTATTGTTACATAAATAACTCTTAATTCATTAGAAAAAAAACAACATTTTATGTTGCCAAAAACAAATAAATAAATGATTATTCACATAATGGATACATTTGAGAGTCGTGGTCAGTGGCGAAGGGTAGAACCAACAAATGGTTAAACAGCAGTACCAACCAAATATCTTTATTGCGTACAACTTGGACACTATAAACATCTTGAATTACGACTTTTTGCTTGCGTGTTGTAAAAACCATTCCTGTAGAACAACCACTATTAATTGTGACTATTACAACTCTAAGCTTCAAGTTTAAACGCTCTCGGACGGGAAAGACGTCTCCCAAAGGGATTGAAATGATGTCCCTTAAACCCATGACACTTCTCAATACTTCGTTTCTGTCGTAACCAGCAGAGAGCGAGTTAATCGCGCGCAACACATAAATACCCTACCCTTGGACTATCTAAATATGTCGGAAACAGGAGAAAAGATGAGACAATTGTTTTGAACAGTACATTACATTCGCCTAAGACATCAATAAGTTATGTGTATTGTACCAACAAAACTTGTGTGACAAGAATTGTGAAGTTCTGACGCAAAACAATGAAACAGAATTTTAGGAAAGAAACAAACAAAATACAGAAACAGGTAAGTTCATACCCGTTTCATTTCAATTTAATTTATATAATGTCAAAAATATTCAAAAACAGTGTGACGTTACATTGGTGGGAGTATAAATAAGCAACGTTAGCTTAGAACAAAACGTAATACACCTCGCTGTACGTAAGGTGGTGCTAAGGATTCCCCGGACATTGCCGATGTATACTGTCCAGTCTTCGGCTAAGTTGCTATGTGGAAAGTTGTTATTTATTTTATTTTATTTTTTTCTCCGAGATTACAGAGAGGAGATACATTCGGTTTCTACGCAAAAAAAAAAAAAATGCTGGGTAGCTCTAAATCTAAAATGAGTGTTGGTGTACCTCACCCGCTCAACCCGCTGAACGCGGGTTTCGGCTGTTCTCCCAAAGTTTCGGCAGCGATTCATATAATTCAGAAGACATTTTTTATTACCACCAACTCTGTAAGTAAGGTCACTCTGTTGGAGAAGCAGGTTACCGTGCGTTCGCATTGTAACATAATATTCACATATACGTCATAAATTACTTGCATGGGTTAAACAGATTTTCCAAGCGGTAAAACAAACTCTTATACTTTTACACGTATGTGTATGAAACAAAATAAAAGGTATTTCTAACGTCGTCATTAAATATTGCCCAAACCGGTTCTAGGTCGAATTCAGCCGCTGACTGGAGGAGAATTCTAGCGGCCGGCTGCAGTGTTCGCTAGTTTTTCGTTGTTTCTCCAATCCACACCTCCAACCAAGCAGAACCGTAACAACCGGCTATCTTTCCTTCCTCTTCTTTGACCCATCCTCACCCCCTTTCTTACACACATACTAATATGCACTACCCTACCACACATACCGGGAGACCGTTCGGGAGATTAGAGCTTGTCCCGGCTGGTGGAAGTATACCGGGTTGGGAAAAACCGGCTAGCCGACGGTAGGTCGCCGCCCGATCTCACCAACCAACTGGGGAAGATCTCCGCCACCTCACGAGGAAAAAACCTGCACCATTCTTACGGGACCAGTGATCATCATCATCATAGTAGTAGAAGACGCTCCAGGAAACACAATTAAGCAAACCGGTTAGCATGAGCACATCTTGGAGAAGTAGTAACTCAACGTAAACCTTGAGGTATCCAAAAACCCCGCGCTATTTCTGGAGTGTTAAATTTCTGCTGTGATGTGCGCGCAGAATTTCCTTGAGGAAAATTAGCCCTGAGAGGACAAATCGGGGTCTGTCTACTTTGACCGTCCTCGCTTCGGTTTCTCATGTCGTTACTGGCAGGGCGCCGACTCAGTGCGACTTCTGCCTTCCGAATTGAAGAAGAATGAATATTTTTCGAGTATATACGAGATCCTTAAAGCCCAAAAGGTGTAACTCCATTTTTCAATTAGGTTCATAATCGTGTGTAGCAAGTGGCATTCCAAGCCTACCTTACGTTAATGACATGTCACTTGAACATCATTAGCAATCTAATTGAAAAAGGGAGAAATACCACTTGAGCCCTTACGTAGTACATGCCAGATTTTTCTAATATTTTTATGGTATTTTTTTCAATGGGTAGGCAGCTTCTACTTTGTCTTCTCTCACACTACGCCACTGATCATGATTTCATTTATTTCATTTTCTTACTATACATACATGGAACAGATAAAAACACAGTGAAAAAATAATTGTGAACTTACCCATCTGAGGATATGCATAACTGGTCAATATTTGAAAGTCGAGTGTTCGGGACTTTATAGCAAGCCTATTTGCTATTTGAAAGTTTTGACTTTCATAATTGCTCAGTACTCAACAAGTACTGATCTGTTCAATGATGATTCCAATACAATTTCTCGAAGTCAGCTTGAAGGTTTGCTGTTCGTCTTATTTGTGAAGTTTTGAGAGCTTCACTGCTGATGACCCATTTTTGAAATATATTTTGAAAATAACACCATGCGTGTAACTTTTATGAGTTCAGTGTAAGTTTCGCGTTCTCTAATATCGAACAATATTTTGTGATTGTCACTTGAAAGATCCTCATAAACACTTGATACTATGTTGACGTTTTGTTAAGTCTGATGTGTGCATATGTGGTCATCAGATACATTATCATAAGTTGCTTGAGCGTGCAAAACCTGTTTACGCATACTTTGAAAAATTACTTTCGCATCTCTTTAACATGACATACCGAGGATCTACATCACAACACAAATGTGTTTTTAATATAACGTTCTTCATTCATCTTCTTTCACTTCATAACACGATATTTTTTCACTAAATGTCACTTCCCTATTGATTTGTTTCGTGTTAGAGCGTGATGTATTTTCCCTTTCATGACGAAAAATGAACTCTTATTCTTTTTGCAAAGAAATGAACATATTACAATTGTTTCTCTCTATATATATTGTCCTTACATATTAATTAAATTCTGTGAAAATTGATTCACGATTTTAGAAATTCCACTATAAACTTTTTTTCATTTCAAAAATAGTTGAACTTTATATTATAGAAAACTATGAGCTCTATTCAAGCAAATTTCAGATTTTTTTTTAATTTACAGAATTAAGAATAGTACAAAATCTTGTATTTACTAAATATTAATTAGATCTGTGCACCGTTTCTATTTGTAAACGTGTTACGATTAAAGCTATTTTCATTAAAATTTTCCATTTTCAAAAAATTAAATATATGTATTTATAATGAATATCACGTGCTTAATTTGCTACGGTTTTTGCAACTGTTAGATGAAGTGTTTGTAAAATGGAAGTTGCAATATTATAATACTACGAAACTGTCAGTAATAACACTAAGTTTGTGCTGCTGTAAGAAAAGTGATTTGCGTTAATGTTATTATGTTACATTCGTGACTGCTACTAGAGAGTCAGACCGCATTGCAGAGGTTTTCGGTTAATCCATCACGTAATCCGAGGCCATCGAGGTTTTGTGGATTGTGGATTCTCTCCAAATCTCTGAGGATTTGTGGAGATTGTCCGTAATCTGTTATCTATGAGGGATGGACCATATGAGGATAGGGCCCTTGCTCGGTCGAGAATGAGTGCGAGGACAGGACGGGGAAGAAAGAGTCGCGCACTGCACCATTGAAAAGAGTGCTGCTCTGGCATTCGCCTGGACGTGATCAATGGAAATTCAGAAATGTCCGATCAGAACAGACCGCCTACGAAATTTACCACCAACTCAATGCCGTTTACCACATCAAACAAATGTCCGGGATTGTATCCGTTCTAGCCATATACATCGCACCGGCTGAGATGGCTTAGGACAACGAAAGTGTCTCTGGACGGGAGACCCAAGAGTTCGAGGCCTGACAGTGGCAGATTTTCGACAAGGACGAATTCAGCCACCGCCTGAAGAAGAATTCTAGCGGCCAACCGGCTAGAATTAATTTTCCCTAGTTTCTTCGATTATTATCAGGCGAACATCGAAGTAGTACCTTAACAAACGGGTCATTCTCTGCGCGCGATCTTTCCTTCCTCATTCTTGTCATTTCCCTCCTCTTACTTTCACACACTTACGTTCATGTAATGCACTACCCAACGTGTCGGGAGTTTAGAGCTTGTCCATGTTGGGCTGTGCTTTGCTGATGAAGATCCCTGGAAGAGTAAAACCCTCGCAAGTCTACGTGCAGGCTGACACCTGATCCCGCATTCTAACCAACCTTCCAAAATATAGCATTCACTACACTTATAGGAAAAGTCATCATAGAAAGCGCCCGCATGTAAAGCGCCCGGAGACACTAAACTATGAATTATTCTTCTTTGGCGCACTCGATTGTTTCATTGTAACGCTCACGGCTACTGCCCTTTATTTTGTCAAATAAGAGTATCTCATTAAGAATTCACTTATGTTTTGGATAATCATTTGGAAATTCGAATTATTCAATTTCTAAGCAATCACAGTCCACTGAATTTTTATTTTACTTTTTAAGCATTGCTGTGAATACCGCCCAGGATGCTTTGCGCTTCAATTACGTGTCTATGACACGTACTTCTTACGCATATCTTCTGCTGTCACTATGTTGATCGTTCTGAACCCACGTTCCCCTTAAATTGTTTAACATTTTATAACACAGTGTTACATCTGGCTGCTCATCCTATTTATTCAACACAGAAGTTTTAAATCTGGAGATGCATGCACACGTATACCGGTTTTATCATGGCTCTACCTTCATGGCAACTTCTATTGTGTCATTGACTTGTTTTACAGTCATGTGATTGAAGTAGGGTCGTCATGTGGTAATTTTTTTGTTAACTTATGCAAACAATTGCTACTTCCTTAAGTCAGAACCAGTGCCAGAAGTTACGGTCATTTCCAAGATACCCTTTGGAAAGTTCATCTATGTTTATCGACACTGACCTTCAGATTTCGTAGTAAGTTTTGTGCCTGAAAGCAGTGAACAGTCAGTCGGTTCGAAGTTGAGATGTGTTACAATCGTTGTCTATGATGAATATGCGGTTCCTACATTTTTTATTCATTTTCGTTCATATACTTGTTGTATCTAAAATTAATGCTCAAACAACACATGGTAAGTACTAAATAATTAGATTATCATATTTTTCAAGTCTTACTTATGACATAAATAATAGGATATGAAAATTCAAGATACCCTGTTGACAATAATCGTAGGATAAAGATGGAAATGTGAATTAATGTTATGATAATGATTTCACATTCGACTCGGTGAAATAGTGAAAGGCTTCTAATTCCGGTGAGGTGTTTGTAATTTATCTTTGAAAGGTAACGTAATTGTATAAATCGCATTTCTCTTCACTTTGTCTTTTAGTAGCATGTTTCGATTGTAGAACGGGATTTGTCTTGCGTCATGTAATGCAAAGTATTATTTTAACTTTTGTAACACAGACGTTTTAGAGTACATCTTATGTTTAACATTCCAGTTCATCATTACGTTAAGTGCGCAACATTTTATGGTCGATGTTTCACAATATGTATTAGAAACGAGACGATCAATTTCTGTCTTACATCTCTCCTTTTGGGTTCCTTTATTCATTTATTACCTTTTCCTAGTATGGCATCGACTTTTATACAGCGACATTCTAAACGAACTTTTTTGCTATTGTGCTATCTTATTGCATAGTTATTTAATGCTTAATTTAGTGGCACAGTGGCTCTCAAAATTGATCGTACACCTTCACTTTAATGATACCATAGATCTCATATGAATATTTCTGGAAATAAAATATGTAATTTTTATATTGGAGGTTTCCTGGAAGAACTAGTGCAATTTGAAAGCAGAAAAAATGCTTTATGTGTAAAATTAAATATTTTGTGTGGCACAAATAAACGTTGCACAGGAATGAACGTACACCGTCACAAGCTTTGAAACCTACCCGTCGAAAGTTTTCTTGGGTACAAAGTTGTGACAAACATATTAGTTGGTCAGATTTGTTTCCAGTTATCAACAAACTTAGGCTTTCGTGATTATTTTTTAACCTTCTGTATTCTCGCGTCTAGTAGTCACACTCCGTTACGAGTGGGTCTTTGTGGTCTTAGTAGGTCTAGTGGATGATTTGAAAACAAGTCACATCATATACCACCATCACATTTCTGACTGCGCATCAGTCACCGAAAGGAATTATTTTAGCCCCTTTCCTTATCGCAAGGATGCAAGTATCCAACTGTTGGAGAGACAGATTCTGAATCTGTCGGTGTCATGCGGAACTGTACCCGCAGTGCGCGTGAAGTTCGTGTCTGGTATGGTGTGCCTCAGATACATTACAGTTCTGTGGGTTTTATAAAGTGAAATTTACCACATGATCTGTTAAGTTGAAACGGTTCGATAAAATGCAAATCATCATTTCTCATAAAGTGTGCGAATCAACCGATAACTTCTGTTACGTTTGTGGAGAATTTACGCCCAAACGAACAAGGAAAAAGATATATGAAATAAAACTTGCGTATTCTTTATACTTTGGCTGTCATTGTCTTGTCGAAAAACTCAAATCATTGTGATTAGCTGTATCAGTGTTGTGGAGAACACCAACAAACCATTTTAATGACTGCTTTTTCCTCATGATAAAGATGTCTGGCATGTCCAGGTTAATTATTCACACAATTCTTCTGTCATGCGACCTGTGTTAAACAATGACGAATTACCAGCACCTGTACCCCCGAAAACAGGTCAATAAATCACGAAAAAAACTATAATGAAACTGAAGCCGTGTTTCTCCCAGAAAAAAAACTCCACTTCAAAAGATCCAGATTACTAACAAGGAAAGTCTAACACTGAGCTGTACGTTCATAGAGCAGGAATACCTAAATGATTTGGCATGGCATCTGTATTTGTCAAAATAATCTGAACTGCTGGGCTCCAGATTACAGTAATGCCGAGCTTACTGTAATCATACTTGCTGCCGAGACAAAAAATTCAGAATTTAGAAAAATTCAAAGTTTTCACGTATGAGTAATACAGAATTGAAGGAAGGAATTTTCACCGACCCGAAATTCATAAAACTCATATTGGATTAAGTATTGGAAGAAAAATTTTGAGACATTGAGTTATCAGCTTGGAAATCATTTAAGAGCGTTGTGCATGAATTTCTAGGGACGAAGCAAGAAGACAATTATACAACATTTGTTGCAGAATGCTTAGAAAGCTACAATACCATGAAGTGTAGAATGTCTCTGAAAATTCATTTTCTTCACTCCCATCTTAATTTGTCTCGGAGAATTTGGGTCACATTAGTGATTAACATGGTGAACTGATAACCCCACTCACTTTAAATAATGAGCCCATCCCATGGTATCCTCCAAATAAACCCATAAAATATCTTGGACTGCACATGAACACCAAATTGAACTGGAAACAGCACATAGACATCAAAATAATACAAACCAAAAACAAATTGCATCAATTAAAAACTCTAATAAACAGGAAAAATGACCTCCCATACAAAACAGCAATAACTTTATTCAAAACAATAATCAGACCTACTCTTCTCTACGCCTGCCCAGTATGGATCAATGCTGCAAAAACAAACATCAACAAAATTCAAATAGTACAGAACCAATTCCTCCGTACAATCACTAATGCACCCTGGTTCATATCTAATCATCAATTACATAATGAATTCAACCTTCATCCCATCATGCACCACATCACCTACCTATCCCACAATTTCTTCTCAAATACACACCATATCCAAACCTTATCTTCATTCAATCTTTGCAAAAACCCCATCCATCCCACTCGCATAAAAAATAAATACCCATTCCACATATTTTGTAAATTGTTCTCAGATCTGGAATAGTTCTTATGAGGTGCACTTAGGGTTTCCTCAACCTCTGTAATAGTATTAAGTTAGGATACGTTTAGGATAAGTTAAATTATAAGTCATCAATACATATGTAGAGTTATTAAAAACTGAACTATGTACTAAACAATCAAATAAATAAATTTAAAAAAATGGTGAACTGTTGAATCGAGAAGTTGGTACAACGAAGAAAAGACACAAAGGGCGTAAGGATTCTGCAACGATGGGAGACGATTGCTGATTTCTTGTCAGAAAGTAAACAGGAATTCAAGACTAAGTAACAAGGCGCAATGCAATTTTAAATAATGAAATTAGAATTTCTCCTTCCAAGAGGTTTGAATATTATGGCACGAATGTGTGTCTTCCATTTTTAACTTATTCCTACCTCCTATGAAGTATACTCATAACATGATGTAGTAATATAACCGAAGTGACAATGCGTAAATTTGTATAGCATTTTGTTCATTTCGAATATTATATACGAGTATGTGTTCATCTCTTTCGAAGCCTGTGTTATAGATTTACGAAATCAGTGTGATCGTTTCGTTTGAAGCCACCTACTTTCAGCCTGAAGATATGAAAACATTTTTTTGTTCCCTAGTGTTGTCTATGATTGTGTAATTGTCAATGATTAATAAACCTAAGACTGATTATTTTTTTATATTATCAACATAAACGACTATTATACTTAAAACCGGGCAATTGGATTTATATTAGAAACAATACATAAGCCTAAAAACAAAAGGGTTTGATGATTTTATAATAATATAATATACTTATAATAATATAAATCCTTTCCGTATAAAAAATAAACAATTGTTTGCACAAAGTTGTAAATAATCATGGTAAGTTCGACCTTTCAATAATTTATATATAAATTCTTTAAACAGTAGTGAAAAAATATTTTCCCATCATTTTGGCGTGAATTTTGAAATTTTTATACTGATAAAATTGGTTTTAATTTTTTCACTATCCTCTACATTGTTAAAAAATCTGAAAAAATCTATGTTACAGGATGTTATTAGATATATTCTAGGGAAAAACTGAGAAAACACTCCAACGTTACCACGTTGAAAATCATTTTTTTTCTATTTGAATTTGGTATCAAAATTGGTTGACAAAAGTATCTTTAAATTCAACTATTTTTCCCCCTGTCTTTGCAATTTTTTCAGCCCAATGCATACAATGGGGAAAAAATGAAAAACCAGTTTCTTATTGTATCTCTGCGACATATTGCCATAGGAGGCTGATTTTTTGTGAATCAACGGCATTTTTATTCTCTTTCATATGGGTATCGTGATTATCGATTTAGTTTGGGGGCACTTTTTACAACCTTATTCCACTATATCCTTCATTTTCAGTTCCATTATAATTATTATAAAAGAACTAACTGACAAATGATTTCTCATCTAATTACTGAAACCACATTTTAATCTAAACGATCATGAAAGTGAGGAAATGAGGAAATATATTTCAAATAGTACTGCTAAATCCACTTGCGCAACTAGGGTTTTCTGGGAAGGGCTGAAGTGTAGTGTTCAGCTGTCATGACGTATTAATGTAAAACACATTTCATTTATATTTCATTCTAATGTATTTTTATTTGTTGATTTATAGTTATTTATAACTTGTTTAATTGAGAGATTTAACGACTTTTGTTCCTATTAAAATTAGCAAAAATTATTTGTGAAGATATTTCACAGGCTAATAGAAAGCCGGTCATCCCTAATAAACGATTTGAATTCAGGAATATCAAATGTAATTATGTAAGAGCGTGATCTTTTCTACTTGACTAGCCTCAAGATGAAAAGTTGACTGTGTTTCTATAAACTTTGACAATAGGTGTTGTAAATGATAACGAATCAGAGACGTATTTGAGTTACGGTACCTACATTTGAGTTGTAGTAAATGGCGAGGTTGCTTGAGTTTCTTGTAACTAGTGCGTATCTTCGGCTTCTGAGTTTCCTTCACCGCTCAATGCACTTTCCACTTGCTGTGACAGATCAGGAGTTGAAGAAGTCACATAGAAGTGGCCGGCAAATGGCAATTCCAAGAACATAGCGATATCGTCATCACTAGGCATCGTAAGGCTTCCGAAATAATCTGGTCAAGGCCAGGGCAGGTCGGATATTCGGTGTTAATTGTTTTAGAGCGAAGTACTTCACGAAAACTGAACACAATCAATAAACACTGTATTAGTCAAAGAAAGAACCTTCACAAATAGATATACGAACACAATACACTGAGATCTGCGCCGACACTGGGGGTTCGAACAGTTTCCAGCGCGGAGCGATACATTTCGCGATTAGCTGAGCGCACTGGGCAGCGAACGGCTCTGTTCCTCGGTCGGAGATAGAATCGGAGCGAAAAACTGAAAGACACATAAATTGGACTAAATGAAGCCAAGCCCCATTAAATAGATAGTAAATAGAGAAAAGACTGTTTGAAGTTGTTGTTTAAAAAACAGGAACCTCGTTTGTATAGGGAAAAAAACGTTACGATATCTATAAGTTTCTATTAAATTGTTTTTCTAATTATATATTCAAAATTTTAAATAAAAAATTTAAATAAATTATATTACCATTAATATAAGACGAATCAAATGAATTTTAAGCATAGATAACCGGATAACTGGACTAGATACAATAATGTATGCGAACTATATTGTAGTTTTATAATTACAAGGAACTACGTAATAAAAGTTTTGAAACAAAAAAAAAAATCATCCCATTTCCAGCCATGATATTCTACTCTGAAGTCCGCAACCATTTGAAAAACATCTATTTACTCCTTGGCATTCATTCAGACCATATCAAAATCAACTAAGCCAAAGCTGACTGTTTATCTTCCTGATGGTCTTTACTTAATATCCAGATGAATAAAATTTGTTTGGAAGTGGCTAATATCCACCTGACAAACAAATTGATTGGTTCATTCCGGTTTAATTGCACAAATTGCAAGCCAGTTGATTTTGTTTATACTCTTCTTCGTATTGGTATTCATATTTTCAATGTCCTTGGTCACTTTAAAATTCTGTTCCGAAATTTGACTTCTACTACTTTCTGACTACTACTTTCTCTTTTGTGACTTCCTTCCATCACCTTAAATACAGATTTTACTTTACCGTAATCGGAATAATTTATCAGAAAACTGTGGCCTGAAACGAGGTGCGGGAGTTACGTCACGGAATTCGCTATAAATAGATCATCAAACAATGTATTTTTTATTTAGAGTGGATCCCTGGATAAAAAACAACTAAATATGCCCGTTGTATACAATACTATATGAATATGAGAATATGAGCCCAAAGTCAATTCTTACATCTAATGATTAGATTCAAGATAAAGTAATCAAATTCTGTAAAGATATAAATATATTCATTAAAATTTAATTTAAAAGCATACTAGCAAAGTAAGTTGTAGTACAGAATTATATGACGTGACCTACTGAAGAATGTGTTGGAGTATTTGTATGAATTGTAATCAATATGAATGTCTGGTTGTTAAGTACACAAAACGTATATATTTGAATACCTACCAAAATTGACCAAGCAATGTATTAATGACCAAGCATTGTCGAACAATATGTTAACTGAGGTAAAAATATGTTAAACCAAAGTATTACGCCCATATCTGTACCCTTTATTAATTAACAACTAAGTATTAACTATTGTGAAATCAATGTATCAATTTTGAGTCGCTAATGACCTCAGTGTCGATGCTACTATAAATAAATGAAAAACCAAAACCAAAAAACGTTTGTTAAAATTTTTTGATCGGGGTAATGGCTTCTCAAAACACGGTTTCCACGATTTCATTCACTTGCGCAGTTTTGCCATCATCCACTGAGTTTCTTGCTTCTCTAACTTAAAACTAATGCACATCTCAATTTTCCCTTTGTCAGAAATGTTACTTTTCTTAATATTGGTATGAAAACTGTCACATTTATTGCAAATATCTTCAGCTTTCTTTATTTTGATGGATGATCTTTCTGTAACAACTTAAGTTAATGTCAAAGTAACTTACTTAAGATTCCGTAAGTTCTGTGGACAAATATTTGTATCACTACTGTCTCGTCGATACGTAGTAGTGAGAGGCTGTCTGGAAGAGAATTCTAACGGCTGGCTGCCCTGAATGGTAGTTTTCCGTGGTTTCTCTAATCAACATCACGCTAATGCCGGGTCAGTACCCTAACAAATGGGCCACGGTCCGCGCACGACCTTCTACTATCCTCATCTGTTACATACACTTACACTCACACACTATCACACGTGTTGGAAGCTTATAGCTTATCCTGGCTGCGGCGATGCCATGCTGTCTGGAGAATCCTAGTGGAGGGAAATCCTCGCAAGAAGACGTAGATCGGCACCGGATCTCACCGTTTAGCAGGGGAAGATTGTCACCACATCCCATTATAAAAATGGACTACAACATCAGGACTAATTATCTTAGCAGTTGACGCTCCCGGACTCATCAATTAATCAATCAATACTCTTTTCCTAAAAGTTTCTCTGTTGTCAGTTTCGCAAATCGAATTTTGATAAGAGCTATATTCACTCGAATTGTTGTTATTCGGAAAGGGTTTTCAAACATTTCCTTACAGACATGCACTGCAACAAATCTGTAAAACGAATACCTTGTGAATATTTTTTTTATTAATATTATTTTTTGAGTTGCACTTATTTCTCTGAAATGACGCCTAGTCCCTGTTCTACAAAATCGTCCAATATTTTCTGTAAACAGAACCAACCCCCAAATATCACTTGGTTCGGTATAAAGAAAATACGCTGAAGACAATTGAAGCATCCAGTAGGAGAGAGAGGTAATCCACAAAATATCGATTTATGAACGTATTAGATTATGAAGCCAATGAAAGTGTCAATGAATCGATGTTTTGAATTTCGTGGATTAGCGCCATCTCTCACCGGACGCCTCAATTATGTTTGACAGTAGATTCAGTCGCCTTCAACTGACAGCACAGTCTAGATTGGTTCTATTTAAACAATATGCGGATGGGGCGTAAGTCATGGAAACTATAGTTTTTGTGAGAATACGAGCACGGGTGAAACATGTGAAGTATACACATGAAAGGATAAGGTATGAACTAAGTGCATGGACATTTAACGACGTACCAAAATTGTGTTTCTCATTTTTATTTAGATATTTGAAATGACTGTACTGGTTTCATATTCTAAAGTATTTTAGCAACATAGTTCACTACATTCTAAAAGTGTTACCTATTAGTTAGAAAGGCCTGATTAAATAGATGCTCTATTACCGCTCAAGCCTCATCATCCCGCACACTCACATGTTGTCACGTGCGTCGCTGGTTGCTAGGGGGCCCCGCAATCTTTCAAGCCCATCTCGCGATTGCCCGGTTTCGAGGGGCATTATTCGTACGAGCTTCCAATTCCCTGTGACATTCAGGAGCATTTCTCTAATGGAGAATGGCTTTATTGGTATATGGGCACTGCTCGAAACGGGTTACATTCATCTCTCAAAGCGGTTGTCACACAACTGATTTTACATTGCTCTCAATGTAAATAGAGACACTCACAGTGCCATCTGTTGGTGGGAATACACAATAGTACAGCATTTCATTCACACGACAAACGTAACTGTGTGATCCGATAACTTTTCTTTTCTTCTTTATCATTTTGTATGTTCGAAATCCCATTATACTAGTATCCTCATGTTAAATTTTTAATTTTTTGAGGAGATATAATGCCTTTGTTGATTCCCACATGTTGAATGCAAGGTTCGTGCCTAGTTACTTTTTTCAACCGCTTTGCATTCTAAAAACGTTATTGTTTTTCAGATTCCGATGGCAGCGTCTGCGTGACGTCTGATGGTGAAGATGGAGAGTGTCTGCAGTTGCCTCAATGCCCACGTGTACTTAGCGCAATTACACGCGGGATTCGTAATCACACTCGCTGCGGATTCGTAGGCGCAGTGGAACTGGTGTGCTGCGCACAGAAGCCCGGCATCGCATCAACTACAAATGTCATTTTAAAACTCCACACATCAACGATATTTCCACGGGCCGCCTCGTATATTGAGTCTTCCACTAGGGGTACTCATTGGCACCCCTTTCACGTAGAAGAAAGTGCAGTGTCGACAGTCTGCCCATCCACAACAACGATTGCACCCACCACTTCTACAACAGTTAAACCTCGAGAAAACTATGTCGAGGAGAGCGAGAATGAAGTTGAAGATATTGATTTGGATACAAGCGGAGTAAATGAAGACGTCGAAGACAGACTGTTTCTAGGAAATAGGGACAAAGACAACAATAAAATATCACCTAGTCTATTTGCTTTTAACACTCTGACAGGTTTTGTCAATGCCTTTTTAGGTAAGCCTCCACCTCCCCAACCTAGTCCGACGAAATTCCCTCCTCTGTTTCGCCCTGTAACGATACCACCAAGCCAAATCTACACCTCGCCGATAAATGTGTTGCATAATGAGCGAATTGTGACTCGGAAACCAGGAAGCTCCCATCCACCTACAATGTTTCCATTATCAACTTCCACGCAAAAGCCTATTTTAAATATACAACCAAACGAAATAATAACAAACATACCGAAACCTTCCCAAGATCCAGTAAGATATCCAAATCCTATTCCGCCATGGCCAAGTACATATAGTACAAATTCTCCTGGTATTAACATTGTGAGGCCAGAATACCCTTTCATCATGAAACCATCCCCCTTACCTGAAGTATCGACAAAGAAGCCATTTGTCTCAGTTCACATGCCCTTGACTGAGAAACCCATTACAGGAGGCATAAATATGCCTAGTGCATTGCCACGTCCAACACACTCTTCTAGTGAAAACACTTTGGTCGATAATGTCGAAATTTTGTTACCAGAGCCAAGCACAGAGGTCGAATTTTCAACAATACCGGATATACCTGGTCTGGAACCAGTAGCAACTGAAATTCCAGCGTGGTCTGATGCACAGACACTACCACCTGACGTTTTAGTAATACCTGATGTGCCGTTTGTTACACCTATACCAGCAGATGATCCTAGTTTGAGTCCAGATGGAGATTTTCCCACATTGGAACCACTAGCAACTGAGTCATCATCGGAAAAAATATCCGTGGGCACAAAAAGCCAAGAAGGTATTTCCCAAACATTTTTATATTATTTATTCTTATTTACCATGAACTGCATAAGTTATAAGAGAATATATGTATTAATTCAAGTCAGTGCATCACAAATATTCCAAAGTGAAATTACATTATAGATTTTTTGCATTACATTTTGTTAATACGTTTTAGGTAATGAAGAAGCCATCGAAATTTGGGAATGACAAATGCAAATCTTCACACTTTGGAGTTAGTAGTCTTACTTTTATTTTTAAGACTGAATGTTCATTCCACATGGTTTTGTTTTTCTGAGCAGAAAACATACATTATGTAGATTCTTACATTCTTGTATTCGTAACATACAGAAAATTTTGCAATGCTGCAAAAAGATCGATGTCGAGATTTTAACAAAAATACACGTTTTTGATGTTTCGAAAAATATTCCGAAAAGCATATTTTTCAAAATATCTGTCTGTGAACCAAATTAGCGTTTGAAACATACACAGGATATGCACCAAATTGAATATTCTCGGATCAATCTGGCGAAAAAAAAAATAATGTAATAAATTTGACCTCTAAGTTCATTGGAACCAGTTAGAGTCGAGCGTTAATTACTTTACTTTCTTACAGCTTGTGCCCGTTACCGAGAAATACCCAAACTAACGAGGTACATCGTCGGAGGCGATTTTGCGGCGCATGGAGAATTTCCACACATGGTGAGTGACATTAGTAACTACATTCGAACGAATATAGAGTACCATTACGTTGCTTTCTCGAATCGATTTTCATTTCTGAACGACGATTAGTAACTTTCTGCCTATAACTCCCTCAAAACTCTTGACTGTGTATTTGAGCTATATTTACTTACCATAATATATGCAGAGAGGACAATATTAATTAATATTTTTATTGCAATTGCAGTTAAAATTATTTTAACTACAATTGGATGTAGCCTAATCTCGTGCTAGTTGTTTCACAAAATAAAATAACGATTTTGATGTTACAATAGTAATAATAATAATAGTAATAATAATAGTAATAATAATAATAATAATAATAATAATAATAATAATAATAATAATAATAATAATAATAATAATAATAATAATAATAATAATTTTATTAAGATTTATTTTCATTTAGTGTATAAGATATTAACTTTCTAACTATTGTACTTTGACTAATTTAATCATGTTCCTTATTAATTTATCCATTGTATTTCTTATTTACTGTCACAAATTGCTTAAGGTGATCTGCAGACCATTTTAAGGTTGATAGAAAGCCGTTATTTAAAAGGTTGATTCGCAAATTTGATGTAACAATAGCAATACTAATAATAATACTACTACTAATAATAATACTAATACTAATTATAATAATAATAATTTGAATTACGATTTGAATTTAGTATACATTTTAATTTTTTAACTATTTTGACTAATTTCATCATGTTTGGGTATTAGTTTTTCGATTGTATTTCTCAATTTCTGGTGGAACATACTGCTCGAAGTGACCTGCAGCCCTTTCTGGGGTTGCCAGGAAGCCGGTTATGAAAAGGTGGACTTGCTCTGCGCAGGTGGCCCTGGGGTTCCAGAGGCCCCGCCAAGCCCAGCTGACGTGGATGTGCGGCGGGACACTGCTCAACGAGGAGTACGTGCTCACCGCGGCTCACTGCGTCAAAACACGATTGTGAGTGCCCAGCCAGTTCTCTCGGGTCGGTCGCTGACTCGCTGCAGTTATTAAAAGGTTTCATTTTATTTGGAGATAGGTGAATTAGTCAAAGAGGTCCAAAATGTATCCAAATTGGAAATTAACCAAAGTTTCTTCACCCAAAATATTTTGGTCGAATGTCAGCTCTACGCGTTTTTTACAATTCAAATCCCGTACTTATAATCCCTTATTCAAATCCTATACATTTTTTAATTAAGAAATCAATTTTCAATCAATCACCTTTGAAAAATAATGAGTTGTTGCAATAACATTCCTACATCGAGTTTCAAAATTCACTCGCATACATTAATGCAAGTGATTATTTGAATTGAACAAAAAACCTCAAAATATCTAACCTTATCTATACATTTTGAATGCTTCGAATTGGAAGTTCCTCCGGGGTCGAAACGTTGTAACACAATTTGTGTAGAAGACGTATTCTAACAAGGGGCCACTTTAACAGGTCGGGAAACAAATGAACGTCATGTAAGGTGATGACCTTGCAAGAGATAGTGATGAAGTCATTTACAAATTATCTAACTGTAAACGACCGCACTGATACAATTACTGCATGAGCATAACTTGCAATTTTGTTTCCAGCAGTGGTCAAGCAGTTATTGTCAAAGCAGTCCCTTCTTAAACTACTCTCCCTAAAGAAAAGGCTTAAGGTTAAAAGATTCTTAGTTATTACCAGTCTAAATCTGAAACATTGATCCGCTGTTGCGGAATCAGTCGAGTTACCTCAGAGCCAACATTGCCAACAGTTTCTAAAACGTCTCAGACCAGGACATCCCAGGCTTAGAGATCCGTGATGGATTTTTGACACTAACAAGGTGGCTAGGTCCAATTCAATGGAAATCTTATTCTTGTCCTCACCCACTGCTTACATATACACTTACTCGCATTACACTACCTCACATGTCAGAACCACAGCCGGGAGCTTAGAGCTTCTCTTTGCTGGGGTGGCGTCCCGCTGGGTGATATACATAGAGATGGGAATGCCACCCGAGCCGACGTGTGGGGTGGCACCGGATCTCACCATCCAGCGGGAGCAGGGAAACCGCTACCTCTCGGGATAAATCATTCACGACACTAACGGGACCAATGATCATAGCAGCTGACGTACCTGGAATAAACCTTTCAATGACGAGCTCTCGTGGCTCAGTGGCGAAGTCGCTTGCCTTTCACCACTGAGGTTCCGTACTCGATTCCCGTAGAATTCCCATAGAACATCATATGAAATTTGTTACGACAAAATGAGTTTGCGAGCTTCACAGGGGCTAGTCCAACCCCTGTAAAGCGTCCTAAACCTTACCTCTATCCCAATTCTGGCTGCTGAGTAGTGACGTAGAAGGCGCGTACTCAGACATGCTACCTGGCGGTCCTCCCGACAGCTGACTGCGGCGAGACGTCGATTAAATAACAGATAATGTTAATGGAGGATTACTCCTATAAACATAGCGCGATTATTAACGGAGGATTACTCCCAAGCGCAAAGCTCTCAACGCCCCCAGGGCTTAAATGCGCGTTGCAAAAAAAAAAAAAAAAAAGAGTTTAAAAAAACTGCTCCCCAGCGGCGGCCCTTTGGCGGTGCGCGTGGGCTACACCAACTTGACGGCGGACGCGTCGACGGGGCTGGAGGTGGCGGTGCGCGACGCCGCCGTGCACCCGGGCTACAGCGCCGCCTCGCGCGCGCACGACGTCGCCCTGCTGCGCCTCGCCACGCCCGTCGCCTTCTCGCAGTTCGTGCACCCGGCCTGCCTGCACGGCGCGCACGCGCCGCCCGCCGGCCAGCTGCTCGTCACGGGCTGGGGCTCCGTCACGCCCGACGGTGAGTTCGAGCCTCGTTCCTGCCCGGGCCGTCGTTCACAAACGGAGACAGCAGACCTCACGATCTGAGATTCGCCATTCAATATTATCTCCTTCTTCTTCTTCTTCTTCTTCTTCTTCTTCTTCTTCTTCTGCTTCTTCTTCTGCTTCTTCTTCTGCTTCTTCTTCTTCTGCTTCTTCTTCTTCTGCTTCTTCTTCTGCTTCTTCTTCTTCTTCTTCTTCTTCTTCTTCTTATTATTATTATTATTATTATTATTATCATGATCATTATTATTAATATTAATATTATTTTATTTTAATTTTATAATTATTAATATTATTTTAACGAAAATGAAGAACGACAGGCGAGAATGAGGGTATTACTGATCTGTGGTTTGAATTAGAATTGTTCTCCGTGCTCTCGCAAAAGTGTGATTCGTGATCAGCACGATAACAGGTAAGAACCGTCTTTGATACACACTGCCTGAGGCGAAACGTGATGAGGATGTGTCGATAAGCTTAGTCGCAAACATTTTGAATACACTCTTCGTATACTTAATTCGTAAAATGTTAAAAATGTTTGAGATACAGAAACAAGAAGTCTGCAAATATCTTTAATACACCAATTTGCAATGACGGTTGCAATTTCATAATGAATATAAAAATGCTAACATTCAATCATACAAAATTCAAATTAAGATGTTTGTGTATACTTGAATGACTTAATTGATAAAATATTTAATTCCATAGGTTTTCAATAAATTAAATATTATATTATATTGAATTGATATTAAAGTTGTAGGAATCATGATATTCTTTGCGATGTTTGGCTTTTCTGGAATTACTTAATTATTAATAATTTTAATTTTATAGGTGTTCAGTAAATATGATTTTATATTATAACAAATTGAATTTATATTAAAGTTATAGTAATTATGATATTTTTGCGATGTTAGCATCTAAATCAGCTGAAGTTTAGCGAGCTCTGATGGACAGAAGTTTGTAAGGAACACACACTCAGGCATGCATGCCTGGAAAAGGATCCACAGGAACCGTGAGAGTGACAAATGGCCGCTGTTTAAATTGGTAGTCGTTGTAATCGAATGTTGATGTTGAAAACCGAACTGATGATATAGTATTATGTCTTTGAGAATTGGGAGCAGACGCCGCAGAAGTAATTTTTCGTATACTTTTGATAGTATACACAATAAGCTGATTGGTCTATATGAGGATGCTTCTATCGGAGGTTTCCCTGTTGTAGGAGTGACCGTAATTTGTGCAATTTTCCAATTTGATGAAAAGTAACTGAAACGAAGGATTGCGTTAAATTTTGACCCTGTTACTGCAACTGTTTTAATATACATGTTTATTAATACTATTTGCCCCAATTTTTGACACGCAAATTTGAAACTATTTCTACCATTATACGTGAAAATATTTATTTTTGGCTATTTATTAATCCTCGACTTCCACCTTCATATATAATTAAATATTACTTACGTCGAACGACGTTCCATCCAGCATAGACAAGGTAATTACTGGAAATTTATTCTTTAAAAAGTACTGAAAATGGTTGATCTGCGGGGTCTATCTTTTAAAAACTAAGCGCTACAACAGCACATTCTTTCTCGCATGATCGAAAATAGTCACATTGAAATGTTGTAATTTTTGCCATACTAAAAACTCAGTTATAACTTCAAAAAGTCTAATCCAAACGAATCGCTTCTCGTGCTTATTTATTTCCATTGTCAGGGAGAGTAGTAATTTCTTACTTTTAGAAACGAAATGAATATTAATATATTTAAATGTTACAGTATTTACAGAAAAGCAAGAATAATTTTACAGAAGCCTACCTTGATTACACTTGAAGTGATCTTTCAATTTTTTAATACCATAATCGGCGATTAAAATGTCTTAAAGTATAGAGGTGCAGTTTGTTAGTTTTAAGTTAAAATGTATTACCATCCTTCAATATACTTCCTTTCATAAAAATATTATATACATCACACATCATCATGACTGATAACAGTGAGTTGAATTCAAAGAATATTGAAACATCTGTGTTGCTACATTTCGGACTGGAAACACCAGAAATGAAGCGCGCGAAATTCGAATTTACAGTTCCGAACTTATTGCAATTTTCAAAAATGCAGAGTGCGGATAGGACCATCACCATGATCTTTACAGTTCTTTGTTACATACGAAGATACAAATGAAAGACAAAATTTGAAGCCGTTTCTGAGAAATGTGTATAAAATGTTTTTAAATGCACCTACGTTTCTTATAAAATTTGGAAAAAATACTCATAATTTCATAATATTGAACATGATCTATTTTGAAGAACTGTTTTCATGAACCCATCTCATTAAAAAATTGTTATCTTCAAAATTATAGTTGTAGGAAGATGCCGAATCGCTATTGAATTTTGGCAATTTTCATAAAATGATGGTTTTCAACGAAAATTAGACCTATACCATTCTCTCAAATGTTCTTTACACTATTCAACAACAAAATTTAATCCCAATCAATGGCGCCATTGTTTTGTAAATATTGGAAATGTTCGAGGGGCTTCATGTAAAGTACCCTCAAAAATTAAATCATCAGTTTCAAATTCAAGGAGCCGAGACATCAGCCAAATTGATCGAGGAATATCAATTTTTGGAGAAAATCGGTTGAACGATTTAGCCGTTTACGATGTTCACAGACGGACAAACAGACGTTTTTCCGTCAATCGACCTTTCGGTATGAAGGACCCATAACGCATGGATTCTGGCAACACCACGTGTTAGGGACTTTTTTTAAAAATTAAGCAACTGAATTTATCTACATTTTCGTTTCCAGACATATCGCTAAGAAGAGTTTTTCTGACGAAAATTTGCAGTTTTTTCGCGTAGCATTACATAACTTTCTCTTAAGTAGAAGCACCCTCAGAAAGGAGAGAAAGTCAAAATAATCAGCCTTGCCTTTTTGGAAACACAATTTAATAATTTATAAATGGGTTTTTGTGATACTATTTACAACAACGTCCACGTCCGAAATCGTAAGTATGTTTATTTTGTACCAGGGATATCCAATGTCCAATATTATTTTTTTCTCCGGCCTCGAACGCTGCTAAGTCATAATATTTACATCAGAATATTTTTATCTAATTCTTCCATGTTTCTATATGGTTACCAAATGTTTTCTTAGTAAATATAACATGCATTTTCTATGTTAACATTCCCGGGTACCAATGTTTTGAAATGAGCTATTATTTCATTGTATTTTAATCAATGTTTACTTTGTGATCTCTGGGCAATAGTTGTCGTAAGATAGTGCCTGTTATGACGTCATATTCTGGACTCTTCTTGCACTTAGCGTACTGTTATACGGTGGATTTGTTCTCTTTGAAGGAAAATGGTTTGAATTGTGGACATATTGGCAGTGAGCTGTCGAGCTAATGTATCATATGATTTGTTTCTTCGTCCCTGGAGAAGGGAGGGGAGACCGTTGAAAAATATTCGGCAAATTGGTTTGCTTCTGTGCTGTTTTTGCCCAGGAACAATTGCTTTTAATGGGAGATTTGTGAGTTATTTACTTCTAAATTTCTTGTTTTCTATCAACAATGAGTTTTCTGATGTTGACTCCAGAGATAGATTCTTTAGATAGTTTGAGAACTTGTTATGGTTAAGATATTTTTAAGTAACACGCTGCGGCCTTGAGATCCCGTTTCCAAGCATTACAAAGTTATCGATTTTCTTTGATAATTGCAGGAAAATATAATATTTTGTACATTTTAATTGTAGGTGTGGTGGTTAAAGCAGTATTCTATTTATTAGCGATGACATGAGCCTGACATTTGCTGAAGTATCCTTTGTTTTACTACGTACGGGTCAAAATTACCCGAAGCCACGAAAAACGCGCATGTGTGACAAGGCAGTGGTGGGCATTTATTTAGAGAAAATGAGAATTTATCATTTATTGAAATGATAAAAAGGATGTATTTTGAAAAAAAGAATTTTATTGATTCCTAGGATGTTAAAATTGACTAATTTCACAAAAATTTCAATGGGGTAAAAAAACGATGTAGTTTACGTCCCGGCGTTTCACGTTGTATACCAAGGAATATTTACATTTAAATATTCTCGAAAATCGTCCCAATAAAAGAATTTATTATGTAATGATGCAGGCAGATTTGATTCCACGAGCAGTGAACCTAATTTCAGTATCACAGTGGAGTGATCGGAAGCTAACTAAGCTACTTTCTACAAAGCCTAAGCTACTTTATACATTCGAATAATCTGCTGACACGCCTTTGAACAGCAAGATGCCTAATAGGTCCGGAATTTTATTTCCATCGGTAGGCCAACGTGTTGGTTCTCCAGTCGACACTGCTGTTAGTTGTTTTGATAGCAGTACACCACAGAGTTGTCGTCATTTTGGAGTGTCGAGGCACGTGCCCAGGTGTTTTGCGTTGAAATCACATCCTACTATAAATCATGCACCCAATGTGTCGAATTATTTTTCAAAATGTACTTGGGATAACGGATGATTCGGAGGACAGTTAGTGTATGTCTTCTTTGACGACATCTTGCGGCACGACCGAGAATGACGCGAAAATCAGTGACATAATGTCACCGTGAAGTAGGATCTTGAGGGGCAGAGTTATAAAAAAGTTATAAACAGACGATTTGAAGTACACAGCAGCCGAAGAAACATTATTTTTACAGACATTGGTTGGATGTGATCTTCAGCATATTTAGACATTTCGTGATCTGCGATATTAGATTTAATAATAACAGTTGTGCGACAATGTCCATCTGGATGTTTTGTGTTGTAGATAACAATATCCCGAATAATTTATGTATCTTCGTTCAGTAAAGTGCGTTTCAACTATCAGCATTACATCTGTATAATTCATAGGAATGTACTTTTCTAATTCATGGAGATGATTAATGATTCCGTGTTCATTCCAGATAATAATTTTTAGAATACAGCTCATTTCAACGTTAATTTAATTTACTAGCTAG